CTGGATCAATGGAATTCTTGTTGAGATGGCAAATGAATTGGACAACAATTGCCTTGTTGGGTCATAGTTGCTGCTTCTAAGCCCAGCTACATTATTTGCATTTTGGCTATGCTTATAGGGACAACCTTCCTGGAAAAATATAAGTCAGCTACAAGGTCCTGCATGTGGAGCTAGCTAGAGTAGACAGAAGTGTACAATTTGCCCATTTTGCATTGTATAACCATGTTTTTCGGTAGAGCTTGCGTGGAAAATCTCCTTTCTAGACTTCAATTTCTGGATTGATGCGGTCCTGAGTGAACCTATAATGTTGTATATAATTATGCAGGGAAGGAGTATCTCCGGTAGTTAGGATCCCTTTTTTTTTTTTTTGTTAGTAGGATAATTATCTTATTTAATTTTCTGTATACACAAACAACATGGCTATGGTTTCTGGTATTATTTGGTGTCACTGCATATTGCCATATCAATGTACATGGAGCCTTAGAGCATTGCATTTGATCCCCACTAGCACTTTTCTGATAAAAATCTTGAGTATATTAAGAAAATCGTTTGTAAATTAATTTCACTTATTGATATACAATAAAATAATTAATTAAAAATATTTTAAACAAATTAAATAACTTTGACATAGTTAAAATATAAAATATAATTCTTTTAAATCGAAACGTACTTAATCTCATATCGTATTCATATTGTGTTATTGTATTATATATAAAATTATTAAATTTATAATCCTCAATAAATTAGAAGCGAATCAAACTAACAGTATCTTAGTCTAATCACAATGACATTCACGAATGTTTGAACAAATAGAAAGTAATAAAGAGAAGGCAAAGCCAGATATCTTTTAGCAGTTTTCATACCAAAATAAATTGAGGTTAGAAGTGCATTATTACCTATGGAAGTAACCAAGTATGAAATGCAAGAACAAAGTTCTCATTATTTGGGGCCTACAATTATTACAAATAAAATTGAAAAATATGTGATGGTGTGGGCCTAGTGTGTCCTGAACGTGGCGGTTGGCATCATGATTCATGACCCTGAACGATCCAGCTTGGGAATTCTCGGATCATATTCACAATAATCACCACAAATCTACAATGCTAGTTCAAGAAAACGTTGGGGACAAGGACCCTTCGTTTCGGAAGATAGAAGGGGACCTCAACCCCCATGGGCCTTTGCCCCTTTCTGGGTTGTTGAACGGAAGGCCATTAAATGTGACAAACCTTCTGTCCATGCATGCACACCAAAACCTCGCTGCCACCGACTTGAACGGACGGATCTTATCAACCGCGACATTTCGTTGTCATTGTTAATACACCTCTCCGACTACAACGACGCCGGCGACCTTGGTCGCGTTGATCTTTTCTTATCCTTGATTTTTGGCCGACATGCGGCATTGATGGCTACATATATACACTCAAGTTGATCATGTCTCAGAGACTTGAGCGTTGGGAAATGACCGTAAAGAATGGGCTAATTCTAATTAGCTGACCCCGTTTACCTGGGGCCGGCGATTTGGCAAAGTTTCCACGTCTTTCAGAAGCTGGGCCATGCCAGCTTCAATGGACCACCATTTTGCGTTTGCTTAGTGCCAATGTTCAAATGGGATCTTCTTTGTCTATTTCTAATTCAAATTTAAATATTTGTAAATTTTTTATGTAAATTTAAATATTTAAATATTCAAATTTATGCGTTAATTTAAATATTTGTAAATTTTTTATGTATACGAAACTAATTAACAAATTTTATATATGTAAAATCCATGTGTCCTTCTTTTAGTCAAAACTCACCAACGTTCAAAATGTTCTTTCTTTGTCTAAGAACGTACGAGGATAACTACAAAAATCTTGGTGTCATTCATGTCTTTCGAGCAATATTTCACTTTTATTTGTAACTATTAAAACTTAACTATTGCATTTGTGATTTTCAAAGATATTTTAAATTTATTTTTGTTTTTATCAATTGTCATTAAAATGTTCAAAGGAGAATATATTTTACTTTTAAGCTCGGATTTATGTTAGGTAGTTTTGAGATGACATTTTTCGTTTAAGTTTTAAAGGTAATTTGATTAAATAAATAAATTTAAAACTTAAGAATAAAAAATTAAATTTTAAAGATAATTGAATAAAGATGAAATATTACATAAATGTCTATGGTATACTTTATATTAAAAAATCTTGTTAGTTAAATTTTCTTAAATAAAAATGATCCAAACACATGTTTCAGGGACACTTTGATAAGTAACACAAGATACACATGAAAATTTTTAATTTTTTGATTTAAATGAAGGTTAAAAAACCTTAATATGCTGATAAAGAAGAAGAATCGAGCAGAAGAAATCCACATCAAAGATGATAAAGACGCAAATCACAATCCCAACCGATAATGTTTAAAAGTTTGGAGGTGTAGATTGGGCCATCAGCATCATCTTCATTCAATACTCAATCATGGGAGAACCATTGGTCCTCACCGTCCAGCTCTTGGCTGTTTAGATTTCCCCCACGTGGGAGGTGGCTATCCGTTTAGGCCACCACCCAATCATCTTGCGACACCTATGATCCGGGAGGTTGCGCTCACGTGTTGAGTCAGCAATGACAGACATGAGAAGAGAGAGAAGAAAGCGTGGCGGATGATGGAGCCCACCCCAACCAAAGTAGCACACGAAAACGGTTAGGATTTTGCAGAAATAACGCGGGAGGATATCATAGCGGCATTAATTGAGACTTTGACATTGTTACGATGGGACCAACGTCCCATCGGAGTTTTCCTTTCACTTTTTTTGAACTTTGGCTGCCTGATTAACGCTCTTGATGTGGTTGTTCACAGTAAAAACTGCTACATAAGAGTACATTGGAACTTTACTTTGAATTTTTCAATTTTTTTGGGATTTTTTTTATAGTTCGGTAAAATGTATATGTAATTATTTACATTTTAAATAATTATGACTTTAACTTTCTTAAAGGATGATTTTATTTTAAGAAATATATATTTTGGGTTTTGTATATGCATTAAAATCACTATATTTAAGGTAATCAATTGAAATAAAAAACTTTACATACAGTTGCAAAATTAACCAATGTGAAAGGATCACTAGACTCTAACTTAATTCACTTAATAAGACAAAAGTTTCATTGCCATTAAATTTTGTGCTTCCCCCACCCCCCTTGTTTTTTTTCCTTATATACTAATATATACTAGAAACAAAAATATCAATAATTTTGCAAAGAGCAAGTAAAATGAATAGGACCATTAATCTAAGTTTTGCTTGACAGATGAATTAAGCAACATATGAAAAACTCCATATTGTTTAAATTAGTAAGGAAGAAAATGAATTTCACCATTCATGTAATATATGATATACTTAATTGTCATCATTCATAAAAAAAAAAATACTAGGACATATATATTTTAAGCATGGATCAAATATTCACACCCCTCTTACGTATGCAAACAGTATTCATGCGAAAGGCCATGTAAAGATGTGGAAATATTCATCCCTGAGTGCCAGTACTTGACATTTTCCACGAAAATGACCATTAAAGTCCATTTTTCCCTGCCCTTCCCAGGTTCCCTAATTAACAAGTAGTTGCAATCGGGTGGTTAAGGGAATCAAACGTACGCCATATTGTCATAGAAGAAGATGGACCAAATGAAAATAGGAGTTGGTAAAAAGTGATCAATTCGCCATTGGAAATTGGTGGCACCAAAAATTATTGATGAAGATCCGCCGATTGAAGTTTGAGATGGCAGCATGATTTTCCATTAAGGTCAGAGTTTGGTAATTGTGACAGGAAAAATTTGAAGAGTCAACTAACCTAAACAGTCCAGTCCAGGCCTAAGGAATAACGAGTCTCTGTCAATCCGACTGAGATTTGACAGCAACTCCAGTTTCGACTTTATACTTAAAACGGTCATTTAATGCTCCTTCATTATTTGTTGGTCCTCTCTCCCTTCCTCTCCTCCTTTTGTTTTGTTTTATATAGGTTCGTGCTAAGTAGGATTGGAATTCAACTTTCAAGTTGGTATATTTCTTTTCCATTCCTTGTGTATGTATTTTTTAACTGATCAACTTAATCCGCCTAGTGACTTGAAAATTAGTTGTTTTTGTGAAGAAATATGATGTTCCAAACTAAATCTTGTCACTTGTTCTCTGCAGATTTGGTGAAGAAAAACATGAAGGAGTTGATAATGGGGAGAGATATGTGTAAAGGTTGGGATCAAAAGGAAATGCTATGGGAACCCATTCGCTGAGCTGTAATGATGGGCCGCATGTGGGTAGGACTCAGAACCCAGATACTCTTTTCTTTTCTTTCTTTTATCTCTCTTGCAAGCGCAAATATCTGCATATAATAAACTGAAAAAGAATAGGAGAAAATATAGGATGGTTGAAGAGACAAAATTCCATCAGCAACTTGCCTGTGCTATCTTGTTCCTCTGACCCTCTGACTGCCCTGCCCTTTGCCTGCCAATATCATTTTAATTCTTCTGACTTCCCCAGTCCCACTACTCTTTTTATGCTCAAAATGGCAATCCTAAGAAATGTAACCGCAGAAACTTTTCAGGTTTCAACCTTTTTCAAATACTTTACTGTCCTCTCACGGTTTACCATGTTCATCAAAATTTACTGATGAATTCAGTAGAAATGTTGAAATTCAGGTAAGCATAGGGTCATTATCTAAGAGTAGTTTAACATATATGGTAACAGCATGATACATGTAATTACTGTTCGACTGAAGTGATAGTTTTCCAAAGTCTCGTGAGCATTAAAACTGCTATGTGGTACCAGAGATATATTTCTAGAGAACAGTACTCAAAACGCAAGAAGTAATTAAAAGAAACTTCAGTAGAAAGTGCAAGCAGGAATACTAGTCATGATTAAAACTATGATTAATGGAAAGCTTTTAGAAAGAGAGTGGTTCCCTTAAAAGATGCTTGCTTTGACTGCCGTGTTTACTGAAACTTTACAGCGCGCATGGACTAGCATGAGCAACCAAAAGGATGTCAGAGCTTTTCCCCACTAGAAAGAGAACAAAACCATATAAAATTAAACAAAAGATTATCTATTAGGTAAGATTCAAAATGCTTCTCTGGTGTCTCATGCTCCCCATCTGCAGAAATATACTCTTACACACCCACCAAACTGACCAAAAAGCCTTATCTTTCTCAAAACCCACCTTACACCTCCTTTCAACTTATGAAATTATATTTTATTTAGCTCCCCTTTTTCCTTGTATTCTACATTATTCAGGTCCTTATAAAAAGCATTTGTTCTATTACAATATTGGTCTTTTTATTCTTCCTATCTATATAAGCATGCGTTTAAACATAATACCGTGTCAATACTATTTCTCCAGGACAGCTCAAGGTAAATATCTTCCCTCAACTCTATATATAAGCACCAAACTTTTTATGCATACATGAATTTTAGTTATGCTTTCCAGGATTACAATCATGTTTATCTTTTGTTGGAGGATTTATTGGGGCAATTTCTTCCATTTTATTTCTCTTGATATACAGGACAGACTTCAGTTGCCAAGACTGACGCTAGCAAGGGTTGTTTTGTTCATGATCATATTTTTCATGATCAAGAACTAAAGACGACGGTTAGTGCCAGTTCCAGATTATACAGAAAGTGATATTAAGCTGAGGTTTGATCCAACTTTGTCTCTGCTAAAAGACTTACAGCAAAAATTCCTCACTTGGCTTCTTTTGGCAAGCTAACCTGAGTGCCAGCTGTATCTGGATTTGGTAAGTACTTTTACTCAAAGTTCCATCAACTATCTTTCATCTCTATTTTCTTTGCAATAAAATGATAAACTGCAATAGAACCTTGCATTTTATCAGGTTTCTTATTGTTTAGCTGATAGTTTTCTGTCCTTGGATTATAGATTTTGAAGTAATTTTATTTTCTTGGAACAGAGAAAAATTTCATCCATGGATGGCTTGGGATGGGATGACTCAGAAGTTGTAGCAAACTCATTGCCTGTGTGGAACAGTCAGCGAAATGATATAGAAGACAGTTTCTTAATGTCCAACTCAAATTCCTCCATGTATGGCGGCAAGATGGATCTGCCAGAAGATATCTTCAATCCAGTTCAAGAACTCCAGAAAGCGGAGCCTTCTCGTGTAAATCCAGATTCAGATATAGTAAGGGAAATCGTTCAGCAACAAGTTTCTGAACTAGATTCAGTAAACGTTGCCTCAAACTTTAATATGTTGCAGCGTCAAGGAGTAAGGTTAGCAGCGGATACAAGCCTCCTGAAATCTGCCAACTGGGGAGATGCTTTATCACAAGAGTTGTACTCTTCTGCTTTGATGAAAAGAGCTTATGGTTTGAGCACATCAAATGCTTCGATTTCTGATATTGGCATGGCGGTTCAATCACAAGTCATAAATGGTTTGCGAAATGGAAAGGCTGGGGCTACAACAACTGGTTCTCTTGAGTCCTTTGATTGCTTGCTCTCAGCAAGTAATAGCAACACTGATACATCAGTTGAAGATGATGGGATTTCCATGATTTTCTCAGACTGTAAAAACTTGTGGAATTTTGCTGCTAGTAGTGCAGTTTCATCAGGAGAGTCCGAAAACAATGGCTCAAATACCGGAAGCAAAGATTTCAACTGTCCTGTAAATGAGCTTGACGAAACATTGTCCCAGAGTTCTTCGGATCGGTACTTCAAAAATGGCAAACTATCACAAACAAAGCCGAGTTTTTCAAAGAGAGGCAGTGATCAAAGTGAGTTTAAAGTTGGTCTAAATTGTGGTTACTTTAATCTTCTTCAGACTGACTCTTCTGCCACAGAAGGTGGTTTTAGGCTCATTCCTGAGAACCCACCAAAAGCAAAGAAAGCCAGAACAGAAAAGCGCCCTAGCTCATCGAACATCAATTTTCAACAGCCAAGTTCATCAGTATCTTCTTCCATTGAGGAACCTGATCCAGAAGCCATTGCGCAAATGAAAGAGATGATTTATCGAGCTGCAGCCTTTAGGCCTGTGAACTTAGGCTTGGAAGTGGTGGAAAAACCAAAGAGGAAGAATGTGAGAATATCAACTGATCCTCAAACTGTTGCCGCAAGGCAAAGGAGGGAGAGGATAAGTGAGAGAATTAGGGTTCTGCAGAGGCTGGTTCCTGGTGGGAGCAAGATGGATACAGCATCAATGCTTGATGAGGCTGCAAACTACCTTAAGTTCCTCAGGTCCCAAGTCAAGGCACTAGAAAACCTAGGCCACAAACTTGAGCCGATGAATTGTCCTCCTACCAATCTTGCCTTCTCTTCTTTACCAATCAACCACTCTCTTCCCATGCAAACTCATTTGCCACTCCTTAACCTTAATCATATCCAACACCCGCAGAGTTGAAAAAACTATTCCAAAGCCTATAAAAGAAATCCTAACCACATGATTCCTCAGTCACGCTCATCATCGTTTCATAATTCATCATTAATGATTAACATGCAAAAACTTTTTCGCAGCCTCATAGCTAGTTTTAGGACTATACTAGAAAACTAATCCAAATCCCTTGATCATCATTTTCGTCATTGCATCTACTGTAATCAAGAGATAAAAAGTCTTGGTAATGATAGATTTCCTGATTATCACCACCATTGTATCCACCACCCAAAAGCAGAAAGGGAGTGTTATGATCAGTTCTATTTCCACCATCGTGTTTGCTGCTTCCACTTTCAGACTTAAGATAATTGGAGTGGAACAGCAAAAAAGAAGGGTGGAAATAGCATAGTTCTTGTCCACCTTTTCATATGAAAAGGCTTAGCAATTATAGCACCTATGATTAAGATCAAGGGCTAGAAAGTGATAATCAATTTAGTACTCTTGTTTAATGTATTCTGTGTACTTAAAAGCTTCCTTTTCCTTGGAGATCTTTATGATTGGTTTTTTTTAATGTGTACTTTGTTTAGCTAACCAAAGCAAGAAACATTCTCTAAAGATATGTGAGCCCCCGGCCAGTGGTCCTGTCTCCTTGATTCAACCCAAAGCGTGCTCTTGGGAACCACCCCCTATCCAATTGCTTAGCACATGTTTATGCTTCTTTTTTGGCAGGTGCATTTGTAATATGATTATTAAACTACTACTTCTGTTCTATACTTTATAATCCCTAGATTCAACCAATTAATGATGTTTTCATGATGATGATGGTGATATGGGGGTTTTTTTTTTTTTCATAAATTCAATTTATATATATCCTTTCCTGGTTTTGTTTGGCAGTTTCAACTTTGTCTTGAAAAGGAGAAAAAGTGGGTTTTGAGTGGAGCAAATGGGTGTTTTGTGGTTTGGATGTACATGCTAAATTTAGACAATCTGTTGAGGAAGGAGCCCAGATCTCTGGCTGGCAATTTTGTTTTTGGTTTGTCATTCAAGCTGACCACAGTTCAAAGGTCTCAAAATAACCAATTTGCGTGTGCATAAGAACATTTCTTGTTCAAGTTGGGAGAATTGACTTTGTTTGAGCGGTTGTGATTGCAGCCGTTGCTCTGGGGTGGACAGCTAGACTGCCCTGAGAGCTGACTTGTAGCTCAATCAAGCGAAATGTCATTTTCTTTACCGTGGGAACGGATAGCCGCTCTGCTGAAATTCTCTAGGTATTAGGAATTATTGGTCCTCAATCATCAGTCAGAAAATGCGGACTTCCTCAAATGCACAATTTTATTGCTTTTTATTTGACGCCTTGTGGAGTGCAAATCTTTGAACGAGTTCTTTATGTCTAAGCCTCATAATGTTTTTATGTCCATTGTTTTCCAGTTTCCATTCACACTGGATACTGGTTTCTGTTCCAAACATTACATTATAGAATTTGTTGATGATGGTCACACCCTTTTTCCTTTTTCTTAAAGTTTAAAATTTTCTTTCCCAAGAGCAAACTTGAATTACTGGACTTGCTGCTCAACTTGCAATGTGGAAATTAAGTTTATTTAAACGTCCGAAACCAGAACACTCTCCACTTTGCACAAATTGGCAACCATTGGTGCCTATCCATGGAATATAGTGTCAGATTATAACTTTCATGTTACTTTTACAAAAATGCTTTTGAAAAAGCAGAAAATGCCATGTTGCAGCCTTAGGGCACGCCATGTTTTTCATTGCGCAGTTGATATATATTAGGAAGATGCGAGATTCGATTTATTGTAAGAAAATTTATGAGGAATAAAGTCAGTGGACAACGTTGCTTCAGTCACTTGTTTGTTGGGAATCAATTATTTTTCTCCGACTTCAGCCCAACTTTCATAAAGAAATCCAATTCGGCTGAACTCTGAACTTAACTTCTCGGACCAACTAGTTTAAAAACTTCGGCCTTTATGTAACAGAATGTGGTGGTACTGGGCTTGAATTGGACGTACATGTCGAACGTTTCCCGGCCCTCATGCTACTCTATCAGGTCCATTTCAACCCCCTTCTTATGCTCAAAGAAAGAACAAAGTAAATGACAGATTTGTTTAGTTACTTTATATGCTGACTGTCCACAGTAAAAAGGCTTATCTTATGGCTTTAACAAATTTATTTGTGAGTTTTGCCTCTCAGTGATATCATTTTGTAATATCGAATAATATGAATGTACAAATAATATTGAGATCTAATATGAGTGCAACTACTACCTTCCCAATAGAATTGATTCATCATCGTCCAAATTCATGGTGATCATCTCAATCGAACCTTTTTCTTTGCTTTCATGGCCCTTTTTGTTTTGAGCAATCTCAACTGCTATACACTGATTCAATTCCATTGCTACCACATCCATGGTTAGCCTTCCAGTCCCAGCTGCAGATATGCAAGCCATTGCTACCTCTACGGTTTGCCTGACAGATTGAGTGCCAAAGTTTCCTTTTAATCTTGGATCAACTATCTTTTCAATATCTCCTTTTGCAAGCATAGAACTCAATCGTTCAACGAGATCTTTATGAGCCTTCTCAGATGTTCTTGAAATAGAAGGTTTCCCTGTGAACATCTCCAGAAGAACAATCCCAAAGCTGTACACATCAGTTTTCTCGCTTAACCTCTTTGAATCTGAATACCTGAAAGCAAAAACATGTAAATCAACCCCAAAATATTTACTCAGGTTGACTTTCATTTCAATAATTTTAACTGAGAAGCAATAAATATGATTTAAGGAAGCTACTCACTCATGACCAGGATACCCTGGTGTCCCAGCAGCAGAGGTCAAGAAAGTGCCTTCATCATTTGGAAAGGTCCCGGATAACCCAAAATCTGCTAGCTTGACTTGAAATTCATCATTTATTAAGATGTTACTGGACTTCACATTTCCGTGTACCATGGTGGGCTTACAATACTTATGTAGATATTCCAGTCCTGCATATCAGTTGTAGATGTTTACTAACAATGTCTAGAATGGTTGTTATGCAAACTTCTCTACATGCTTACCTTGTGCTGCATCCAATGCTACTCGTAGTCTCCCCTCCCAATTCAAGAAATGTTTGCTGCTATCTGTTGTTACAATGGATTAAAATCATAAGATGACATACCGGATGGAATGAAATTCAAGATTCCATAATCAAAGATTTCAAGCAAATATAAACCTGACAGAAGTTCCTCTAAGCTTCCATTAGCCATGTATTCATAAATAAGTCCACCTTCATTGCAATACCCAACAAGATTTATCAAGTTTCTGTGGTGAACTCCTAGAAGAAGCTTTGCCTAAGAAAAAAAAAATCATTTCTTAGTTTAACTGATGTATATGAGCTCAAGCATCAAAACTTCATATTTGTACCTCTGCCTGAAAGTGCTTGTAGCTTTGGACTGATGATGACGAAAGCATTTTCACGGCAACAGAAGTGTCATCTAAGTAACCATGGTAAACAGTTCCATGTTTTCCCTTGCCAAGAATCCTCTCCAAGTTGTTGGTAATCCTCATGACCTCAGAGTAAGTGAACAGTCGATTCTTTGACTCCAAGTCTGCGTTTGCTCTATGAAATTCACCATCCGTCTTCGCCGCTAGTGTAACTAAAAGAACTTAGCAAAATATATATTCATGTGCTTCAGACTATTAACCATACGAATACGTGATGGTCATTTACCTTGTTGCTTTCTCCTTTTAAAATACAAGAAGACAGCCAAGGCAGTGATGAGAACAAATGTAGTCACGGATGCAGCCACTGAAGCCACAACTTTCGTGTTCTTATTGTTGCATGATATTGATGAACAAAGATCTGGATTTCCACTAACACTTGAATAGAGACAGTGCAAGGTAAATGGTGAGACATGGAGTTAACTGCTAATACTTTCGTATTTCATCTAGAGGGATTAGTTTTTTTCCCAGCGAAAGGAAGGAACATGATAGACAATAATCTCTGTAATTACATTTACTCTGATTTGATTTATTAATAAGGCAGAGTACTATTTAGGTAAAAATTTATTCATCCCAATAAATTTATGACAACATATGTGTATGGTTTTAGAGAAATAGCATACCTCAGTATTAGTGAACCATCTTTTGATCTTAGGATGAGTTCAACTGGAACTGAACCTATGAGTTTGTTTTTCTTCAAATTTCTGCAAAGAGAAATAAAATTTTCTTTTTTTTTTTCTAATAAAAACAACTTCTAGGAATCTTCAAATTTTAATTTAAAATTTGCCAACTTACAGGACCCTCAGGAGTGGCAGTTTGGACAGAAAACTAGGCACTTCTCCCACTAAACTATTGTTTGACAAATCCCTAACATTGAAACAGAAATTATGAGTAGATATAGTTTCAATATGTTGTCAGCTTATCAGTTCTGTTAAAAGAGATGCTTACAGGAGTTGTAACATTGAGAGATTTGATATGTAAGGAGCTATGTTTCCTGTCAATCCACTTGAGGATAAATTCCTGATGATTTGCGTTAGTCTTAATGGCAGGGATTTGAAATCGATCAGAAATCAGCATAACCTTGAAGAAAAAAAGACTCACATGGAGATTATTCTTGGTGAATCATTGTAACTGCAGTTAAGACCGTTCCACACGTAAGCTTCAGGAGCACAAGGATCTCCTTGCCAGTTTCTCTTGATTTTATATGTTGATTGGATATTTTTAACGGCATCAACTAGAATTTTGTACAGGAAAAAATAGTTAGGACCAATCATACTAGGAGAGGACGACCATGTATACAAAATGAACAGAACATTTGGTAAGAACATATGTACCATCATCTTGGTTTGTTTGTAGTTGTGGGAGTTCGTTCACCTTGTATACCTCAATGGCATTGATTATTGGTGCAAGCGATGAATTTCTTGCTTTGTAGATTAAAAACTCGTACTCTAGTTGGCCTGTCAATGGTGATGTTTTATAGACAGTAGATGCTTCTAAATAGGCAGGAGAATGAGGTCCAGACCAATGTTGTCCGTTAAGAGATATGTTGAACTCTCTGAACTGGTTTGCTTGGAGCTTTTCAACTTCAGCAAAGTACATATAGGCATAAAATTTGTTGGTCTGATTACTTGCTTGTAAAAATAAACTCAAGGGCATGCTTTTATTTTTTGGCACTGCGGCAGTCCCCATGATAACTGATGGTGGCTTGAAATCATTTTTTTGGGAGTCAATGGAAAGCGAGGTGTTTAACTGATCCCAGGTTTGGTAATTGTAAGGCCACCAGGTACGATCATATTCATCTATTTTATACCTGAGTAATTTCCCAACTTTTAAACATGACTGCTTGAGCAATTGGCATTTAAAAGGTAAAAGAAAGCATATATAAAATAATTTACCTGAATATTTGATTAGTTGATGAAGCAATGTCGTACCGCCAATAGAGTTCCAGTGATCCGGATTGAATTTCATAGATAGAATTTCTCAACGGCCTTAATTCTATTGCTGATATGAAAGGTGTCCCAAATCCTGTGTCCACTAGACAGAGCGAGAGATAATTTGATGATGGTACATGTATGATCTCCCAGACTATCCAAGCTGATGCATCAGGCAGTTTCACGATATCCCACAAATTAGCTCCAAGATGCAGTTCAAACTCTGGCACTCTACGTTGCAGATCATAATTTCCGTAGAAGAAATTTGCTCGGATCAAATATTTATTACCTCTGCTTAGTTCTATACTGTAACAGTTTCTGATTCCTTGAGGAAAGCTTCTGACATGCTGGAGTGGCTGCCACTGGCTATCACTTAAGAATTCAGGTGACACGCTCATGCTGATGCCAGTGTCAATGAAGGCTGCATCCGATATATAGGCTAGACCGGTTTCATTTTCAGTATAGCTATAATTTTCTGGTAAACCACAATCTATATTAATGAAGCCTGGGAGACAAAGAAACAGGACTTAATTGCAAATAGTGAATCACAAATAATAAAAGCTTTTCAGACATTCAATGATTCAAACCTGGTTGATCCTGAGCATGTATCAGAAAACTACTAAGAAACGCTAATAGCAGATGTCTGAACATCCCTGGGACCATGTCTGTTTTCTCTAACTTAAGAGAATGGAGATTGGATTGGATCATCATATCATTGTTTTCACAGCCACTGTTATGGTAAACGGGAGTAATTCAGCAACTTGGTTGTTGGTTATTGCCATGTAACTGTAAGCAATGATGATGCACTCCATCAGTCCATCTGACTTCTTCAATTGGAAGATAATCATTTTATATAAGATAGATTTTCTTGTCTGCGCTTAAACTTATTGGTTTTCTGTATTATTTAAACTTTCTTGTACGCTGCGAGTAATCTGAACTGTTGTAAACTTAGACTTGGCCAAGAAAAACTAAGCAGCTGATTTTAGTACGACTACTCAAGAGAAGAAGACCTTGCTAAATGCTTAGAAAGTTCGCCCAACTTTCAAATTCAAGAATAGCTTTCAAGTCATATGGTTGATGTTAATTATTCAATCTGAGATTATCAGCATTACTTTACTTGCCTTGTTGTTAAGTGATAATGGATGAAGAACTAATGTTTGGCTCCATGAAGATATATACTTAAACCTGAACAGATTAATGGAGATTTGACAGCATGCTTCCTCTCAGTCTCTCTGGCAAGCTCATAAAAGTACATGCCTACTGCTTAACTCGTGGCTAAGATTTTGTGTTGGGTTCTGCTACAGTGGCTTTGCTTTTGGGCTCCGCCCGAAAGGTTAGGCCGGATGAACTCAGCTGCCTCTTGCCGCTTTCATTATTCTTTTATCTAAATTATTTTATTTTATGATCATACCGTAAACTCCTCAAAATTAGTACTTTTTGGGAGATAAAGTCACACCTTAACTGTATGGGAGCACGTCCAGGGGCTTAGACATACATGCTAAATACCATTTGAGCTCAAAAAATCTAAATTAAGGGATTTTTATACCTTTCATGTAGTATATATTTTACCTATAAATCATATTTCTTGGTAATATGAAATATTATATTCACATGAGAACTTCAATAAATCTCTCCCAACTTTCCTGTGTGAGTAAAGAAGTTGCGATCAGCTTTCCCATGCGAGTAAACTATACTATTTCTCTCAACTACCCATTCACCTTTAGGCCAGCACCACATGTAACCTCACAAATCACCACTCCAACCTCGAATCTCTTGTTACACTCACAAATCATCATACTCCAGCCTTGCATCCCTTGTGCATTTAGATTCTTCGTATAACACAGAATTTGCACCATGCAAGCTTTTGTGCTTTAATATTTCTCTATTCAAATAAATCCACACCTGAAAGATGATGTTCTAAGTTTCCATTAGCGATGTACTCATAGATTAGCCTCTTGTTGGTGTCCTCATCGTAATACCCAACTAAGCTGGTCAAATTCCTATGATGAATTCCTAAAAGTGGTTCAACCTGAAATAAAAACTCAAATGTTTAATAATTAGTTCAGTGTATTACAAAATGACCCGAAACTTCTTATAAAAGTTATCTACCTCTGCCTGAAACTTCTGATAGCTTTGAACTGATATTGAAGAAAACATCTTCACTGCCACTTGAATGCCATCCAAGTAGCCGTGGTAAACTGTTGCAAAGCCTCCCTTGCCAATAACCCTCTCAAAGTTGTTAGTAATTTTGAGGACCTCAGAGTAAGAGATCTGCGGATTTTTTTACTCTAGTAACAGATCTTCTTTGTTGGTTGTGGCATCAGCCTCCGCGGCTAGTGAGTTATGACAAGCTCAATAAGCATAGAACAATGGAAAATCCTTCTACACTGGCATTTCATATATTATATATTCTATTATGTTCTAGTGTTTTGGTTGTTTTCATAATGGGCTTATACCTTGTGTTTTTCTCCTTTTAATGCTCCATAAAGCAGTTAATGCAATTACAAGTACATAAAATGCAGCAGCTGATGCTACTACTGGTACAATAAACTTCTTCTTTTTCTTGCATGAAGCTGAAGAGCAAAGATTTTGATTTTCTTCAACACTACTCAATTCAATTGATGGTATGTGAGAGTTACAATATTAAAGCCTATACTGTAAGACAAAACTACCAGAGTATAATAGTTATTAAATGACTATTATATTCTACAGAAAGAGAAGAGAATTAGTCATATTCAAAAGAAAAAAAATAAGTATTATAGTTTATATGACTCTTTCCACTTTGAAATGGTATAGGTTGTAGTGCAGGACAAGTGAAAGTAATACTTTGCATAACGTTGTTGACAAGAAGCAATCCTTAGCAATAGTGACCCATTTTTTGATCTCTCAACAAGTTCAACTGGAACAGAACCATTGAGCATGTTGCCTCTTAAGCTTCTGCATGGCAATATGATCTTTTAGTTTTCTTACTAAGAAAATTGCATTTCTACATGTGATAATTTCCAAGTTACTTACAGGACTCTGAGTGAGGTCATTTCTGATAGAAATTCAGGTATTGGTCCCATTAAACTATTGTCAGATAAGTCCCTGACAGTGTGATAGAAAAAAGGAGCCCATTGGTCTCTATCATCAATAGGTTAGCAACTAATGGTCTAATGGCGCAAGAATGAGGAACTTACAGAATTTCTATCATGGTGAGATTTGATATGTATGTAGATATCTCCCAGTCAATCCACTTGAGGACAAGTTCCTAATTGCATGTTCAATAGTTTATGAATAGGGAGTTCAATCAGGCAGAAAATTTAGTTTACTTGAACATATAGGTTCACAAGGATATGATTCTCGGTGGACCAGAGCCAGTGCACCTGCAATTAAGACCATCCCACAGGTAGTCTTGAGGAGCACATGGATCTCCTTGCCAGTTTCTACTTAGACTGTACATTGACTTGATGTTTGTGATAGCTTCAACTAACATTTCCATAATGACATTTAGTAATTCTTATTCTACACAGACTGAAGATGCAAAGCATAAGCATTGAGTTAGGAACATATCATCCATTGGGTCCGTTTGTGATTGTAAGAGTTCTTTTACCGTATAGACCTCAAGGACATTGAGAATAGGTGGCAAGCTAGATTGTCAGCTTTATAGATTGAAAATTGATATTGCCCTCCGGTTAGGCCTGACGGGGTGTATATAGTGGTTGTGGATAAGTAATCAGGAGTAAAAGGTCCAAACCAGAGCTGTCCATTCAAAGAAATATTGAACTGCCTGTACTCATTGTCTTGGAGCTTTTTAACTTCAGCAAAGTGCATGTAAACATAAAATTGTGCAGTAGAATTATCAGCATCCAAGAGAATATCAATTGGCATGCTAGCATCTTTTAGGGTGGCAGCAGTTCTCATTACAGCCAATGGTCGTTGAAAATCATTGTGACCATCTGAATCAATTGTGTGTGATATTCTAAGCTGCTTCCAACGAGTGAAACTTTGAGGCCTCCAGAGACGGTCATAGACATCATTCTTATACCTGTGGTATTTGGTAGTTAGGCAAACCAAGCAAGGTCATATGCTTACTGGGGAAAATAGCATGATATCATGATATAAAATGAATGGCTGATCTGATTGTTTCATTGTCCTTTGAACCAATATCCAGCCGCGCAAAGAGATCCAGTGATCCAGTTTGAGTCTTATAAATGCTATTCATCAGATGCCTTAATTCCAGTGCTGATATAAAAGGTGTTCCATTGCCTGTATTGACCAGGCAGACATATAAATTGTTTGATGAGAGCACATGTATTATCTCTGTGTTTATGAAAGTCGATGCATTTTCCAATCTCACTGAAAGCCATAGATTAGGTCCCAAATGCAGATCAAATGCTGGTGCTTCATCTGGAGAATCATAGTTTCCATACATGAAACTTGCTCTGATCAGATACTTATTCCCAGTTTGAAGTCTAAAGTTGTAACTGTTTCTTGACGCTTCAGGAAAGCTTCTGACATACCACATCTGCTGCTGAACATTTGTTCGGAATTCAGGTAATATACTCCTACTTAGGCCTGTGTCTATAAACGAAGCATCTGAACTATAGTTTAAGCCTGTAGTGGATTCAGTATAGTTGGAGTCTCGTGGTAATCCACAATTTAAGCTAATGAATCCTCAGAGAGCAAGAAAGGCCTGAGTCCTGCTTATGGTGAAAGAATATCATCTGAATTAATATGCATAAATTAAGACATTGAAAAACCTGATTGATCTTGGCGATGAACCTGAAGAACCTGGAGCTGAATTACAAGGGCCAAACCTCCAAACAAAGCCAGGAAAAAACAATTAAACATCTCCATCAGATTTTTAGCTTCTTCTGCATAGGAGAAGAAAGTAGCAAACTAGCATTGCAATCCTACTAATAGTTTTGTCATTAGTTATATTATATAAAATATTTTAACAACTTGGTCCATTGTGGCTGTAGCAATCAATAACCGTTAGCACAACAATATTTTTGTAGCAAACGGCAGATTGATGCATTAGTTAACTCAAGAGAAGTTGCTGTTATGTACAATTCAGAACTTATTTGTGCGTCTGTATGACATTGATTGAACAAACACTTTGACCAAGCTATATAGTACTATATTTTGACATCATTGTTAAATAAAAGTTCCGAGCATATTAAGTTATGATTATATTTTTGGTCAAGATTATTAAATATGGAACAAGGCTTTCAAATTGTCTACTCCATTGCCACTTGTTAAAGTGGACGGGATCTCAGTTTGCGGAGGCACATGTTTGTTTATGAAAAAAGAACAAGTCATACCAAGGTACTAGTATTTTTATTATGGGAGTGGAATATGATAAACTTAAGTTACTTTAAATAGATCATTAAATACAAGGTAGGATTGGATGGTTAGTATAAGAAAACATATCTAACTATAATAAGGAAATTGGAATTTGCCATTTCAATGATCAGAAATCAATGAAGTGAGGATGCAGAAGCGAGGAAATGAATGATCGATGAACTGACTTTTTCCTTTATTTGCAATAAGACTGAGTAGTATGTTTGACCATTTTCAGTTGTAGCATCAATGATGTATCGAAGGAAGGACAGATCTGTAGAATTGTTATTTGACTTGACTGAATACTGCTGGCACACTATGCTTGTTAAGGTATTCTGCTGTCGAGAGCTAAACTGCGCAATAAAGCTGTTTCTGTTAGTTGATGTGCTGGGTTGCTGATCATAGTTGACCTGGCAGAACGCGGTTTCCCTAGAAGGAAAGAGAGTTTTATCAGCAAGAGATACAAAGATATATTTACGAGGGACGACAATGGAGACCTGTTAATTTTCCCTCCCTCTTTGGTTGTAAAATTTCAAGGCCTAGCTAGTTTTCATTTTTTGGGAAGGGGAAGAGGTCATTGTAGCAAGGATTTGGACCATGTTTTCTCTTCACCGTAGCTAGTTTAGGGAACCAAAACTCAAACAGTTATTAAATAGTGGATACGTCGAATCAGTGATCACAGATCTGGTTTCAACTGTCATTTTGATTGCTTTTTCCTTGGCATGAAACTTACATGGTACAGACCTAAGCCCTGAGGAATTTTTATTGCCTCCCAAGATACAGGCAGTATTTGAGGGAAAATATGGAAGAAAAACTTGCTCGATCTGCATCATTCAAATGCCAGTTAAAATGCTGAGTTCTGTATGTAGACAGAACTGCAGAACAAAATGGCTGGAATTTCTGGTTTACTCAAATAGGACAGGACATCGTTCTTTGAAATCATACACACTGTTAAAACATTTGAATATTCAAAGGATGAAGATGCTGCACAGGGGCCAGCATACTCGAGAGAGAAGAATTCTAATTCACCAAAACGGCTTCAACCCCGTGTTTCATTTAACAGCCAATATGTATGCTGTTCAAAGAGAGAGAAATGGTAAAAGAAATAGCAAACCAGATGAAGCCATCTGGCATTACAAAGACCGAGGGTGCTGGGATCAATGAAAGATTTCCTGGCACACTGACTCATATAACTATCTATACGACACAGTTTCACTAAGTAAAGTAACTAAATTTTGACTTTTAACCAACATAAGATAATCAGTAAAAACAGGTAAAATTCAATCTGATTTAAGAATAAAACAGCAAGAGTAAAGCTTTGAAATGACTGCCGACTCGAGTCTTTTTGTTCCTTTTGAACTTCAGGCTTCCCTCAAAATCACCATTGCCTCTTCCTCTGCAGCTTTGTTGCATATCAAAAACCATCAATATTCAACACACACAAGTATATAAATCAAATTATATACATGTTTTCCACTACAACTGTAGCATCTCATCCCTTCGAATGTTAATTAAACTTGAACAATATTAGAAATTTGAAAAGAATTGTGATCATCAATGATGTTGAAAACATAAGAAATTAAAGGAGAATGGGTGAAATAAAAATAATATTTTAATAATAAAATAATAATGATAATTGAATAAATAAATAAAATATTAAAAGGTCATTTTAAAAAGGTAGATTCGGCTAAAGTGGGGAAATGAGATATTTATGGATTGAAGAATTTTTATCATAAAAAAATTTATATGTGTGGAATGTAATACATGTATTATATAATGACTAGTGCGGTAAGTAATTAAAATACAAGAACTAAGCAAATTATGCCACATGAAGGTAACATGACCGGCCACTATATGGCCTTGCCATGCATGCAAGGACAACAACGTCATGTAATCATCGTTGCATGCAAGTGGGGGAAACATGTGGCCACAAGTAAAAAAAAAAAATTTACTACTTATTGGCAATTAATCTATGTAAAAGTGGTTAAAGATTAAATGGGCGGTCAACACAAAGTTGACCATCCATGCGACAACCAAAGGAAGAAGAAATGAAAGGAACAAAATTACATCAATGAGGAAGGGCGGACAAAGCAATGTTGTCCTCCTTTGCAAAGGAAATAAAAAAAAAAAAGATTGAATTGGAAGTAAATTTGTCAAAATGGGGATGATCCATTAGGTCAAGCTTATTTTTTATTAAATATGAAGTGAGTTGGGTTGAAAATTTAAGCTCATATTATAATCGGACTTAAATGGGTCTATTTATCAAATTAATGGATTGAAGTGGGTTGGGGTGGGCCAGTCTTATGGGTAAAAAAATAATTTTAATTATTTTAATAATTTTATATATTTAATTATGTAAAATTAATAATTTAATTATCAAGGGTATTGCTTATTTTATATATTTCAATGTCTTTAATCTTTACTTATTAAATTAAAAATTTTAATTTAGATTAAAACTTATTATCTCTTTTTCTTTTATGGTAATGAATATTAGATGATAAATTGATAATGATTTAGACCTTGAGATATCATTACTATCTAAACAAAATTTAAATGTTTTGCTTGAAGATAGAGATTGAGGAGGACATAAATGAGTTTGAAAATTTTTATTATTTGGTTATATACTTATGTTTATGGGATAGTAATTTGTGTTAAAGATTTAAACTTTATTTATGTAATTTATTTATTTTTTTATATTTGATGTAATTTATTAGTTTGTAATATGTTTTTATTATTCAATTTATGAATTAAATCATAAAATAATTTTATTAATAAAAAATTTATTAAGTAGAATAATAAAAATAATTTTTTTTAAAAAAATAAAAATAGCCGATTCTACTTAACTATGAGCTAACGAGAGGTGGATTGAGTTGAGATTTTGATGGTTGATATAAAAAATATATTAACTCGGTCCAACTCATATTTTTCAACCCATAAAGATTTGGTCTAGGGACGAGTGAGCTCATTTTGACAGCTCTAGTTGGAAGGAACTAAGCTCGGGGAATCGCCCATTCTTTGGAGCTTAGACATTCTGCCCCATGTTTCCCTAGAAAACCTGAGAGCTCCAAAGAAATTCTCTCAAGTCTTTTTCTATCATTCCTACATTCTAAAGAGAGCTAAAGATACCAAAAGCATAGCCATTCAAGCTTCCAATATCCTCATTATTTGAGTGAACTCGAGGGCTCCCATGGAATTCTTTCAAGTTGGTTTTAAAAGTGATGCATGTAAAGGTAAATATATATGTTAGAGATTCCTCTTGGTTCCTTGCATCCCGTGGCTACCTACTTTTTTTGAAGGGATCAAGGCCCCACAAATGGAAGCTAGGAGCTGGGAATTTGATGTGTACGTAAGGAAAATTATGAATTAAGCTTTAAAGATTTAAGTGTAAGAAATTTATAGCTTTTGAACTCATTGTGGCAGATTTGGAGATGTGGGTGAAGTAGTGTTGAAAATCAAGAATTTGGATGAGTTAAGCTGTCAATGAGGCAAGGTGCTAGAAACTAATAATTGCTCACCCAAATTAGCTACGGTTTATTAAAAAAAAATGAAAATGAGCTTGTTCAATTAATTAAATGTGCCTTGTTGTAAGGGATTATAAGAGAAAGAAAGAAGTTGCCGAAAATGTTACCAAACCATGGCTTAGTTCCAAAGGCTGATTGGTGAAGTTGGAAGGTAAGGAAATAGATTGGAATTTGAAATTAGATTGCCATTTAACTACTGGTCACATGTACAAGTAGATAGTCTTGGAAAATATACCAAGTAAATGCGAATTCTTAATGACTAGGAGATTGTTTAAATTAGTGGCTTGGTTGCTAAACAATACTTGGTGAAGGCATGGGAGATTGGCACTTTGGTCGGAGCATAGAGCCTTCAAAGGCTCGGGTGGTGCTGATAATTTGGGCTTGCTAAGTCCTTAGTCAAATCAAGCTCAAGTTAAGGAGGTGGATTAGTAATTGGTGAGAATTCCCACCAACGGAGGTGAGTGGGCAATTCCTTTTTAAAGTATTTATTGAATGGTGAATATTATATATTAAATATGCTAGATATGCCCACTGCTTATATATTATTCAATTACATTGAGTTCCGATGTTTATATTTGGATTGCAATTGGGTTGCATGAGCTGTTAGCGATTAGGAATGATTATTAAGCTCGTTTTATATGTGTTGTTTTTATGGGTATATCAAAACCATTAAGCTGTTTACAAAATGGGAAACAAGCCTTTGAAACATGATGAGATTTTATACTCTATTTTGAAGCATTCAAAGTTGTATGTATTACACTCCTGTATAAAGGCCATAGAGTGGTCGTTAATGAGTTTTCTAATCTGTCTTGGTGGCAATTTTCACGATGCTTAAGTGAAATATTTTAACTATGCCATACTCATTGAATTTCATAAGCGAACTTGCTATTTTAATGTTTACTAATTTTATGATGAACTTGTTATATATTGCTCACGGCATTTTTGATTTAAACATGCATACACGCCTTTTGAGCTAATGATGGAATTGATTATATGCAATTGAATTTCCATTGGTTTATTTTCTTGGGTAAACCTTACGGGAATAGGTCCTCTTACCATACTAGATTTGTGTGATCTTTGTGCACAAAGTAGTGATTACTGATTATTGATAATTGATAACAATGGGGGACCTGAAGCCCCGACTCATATTTGGTGGCGTGGGGAGTTCCCACGTGTAGGTGTTGATGTTATTGATATTGGAGAGAGAGCCTACGGGCTATATTAGACCTACCCGATGATACTCTATTCGATACGTTTTTATTAATTGAGCGTGGCATTTCTATTATATTTTTTTGAGAAAACCATGGTTTTCGTTTATCAATTTGCATGACATTCGGGGAATTACATTGTTTATAGTTGCCATGGTTAATTGATTTTATCGAGCATGAGATTTTTATGCTGCAAAAGTTATTAAAAATTTTGAGATTTAAACTTAAGTGTATTATATTGATGCACATGATTTATTAACTCTATGCATCGTCTATATCATCATACATATATATTATCATTAGGTTTTTATCAAAAACTCTACCTTAATGCTTGTTTCCCTTCCTGTCCACTCACTGAGTATAAAAGGCTCACCCCAACTAGTTGACAATGGTAGATAAGTGAATTAATTGGGAGCAGTTGTGGTGAGGGGACATCAGCTTGCTGCATAGGTAATTGGCATCTCATAGCACTTCCCTTGTGTCACTCCGCTGTCTAGATGTCAAGTTGTCTACTGTTGATTAAATTGAAATGGTGTAATGTGTCAAAAGTTTTGATGTTTAGAAGTATTGTACTGATGCCTTTAAGTTTGATATCATTTAAATCGTTATGCGAGATCAAGAGTTATGAAGGTAAAGGAAGCTTCACAGTAACAGAAATTAAAGCTAAGTGATATAGATCAAAGTAACATAAAATATTCTTGGAAGGCTTCCAAGTTGTGTGGGCTTGCCTACATGACTCGTGCGCTAGTAATGGCCTTACAGTGGGTTGTTACAACAACAGTACTAAATCAACATAAGCTAGAAAGAATCAAAACGACAAGGAATTGATCTTAATTCAGTATCTAGATACACGACCATGTCTATTCCAATGGATTTGTAGAATCACCTTGGTAAGGGACTAAGTTTGGTTCCAAAATTCTTGGTCATCATTCCAATTGAGTCTTGTGATTCATTTTCATGTCCCCTCATTGTCCTGGCTCTCTTGGTTGACAAACATTGGTTTAAGTCCACCACTACCTGAGTCATGGTTGGCCTTCTTGTGGAACTTGGAGACACACAAGTCATTGCTACTTCTACAGCTTTCCATACAGAATTAACATCAAAATCTCCTTGTAATCTCGGATCAACAATATTTTTGATATCACCTCTGGACAGCATGGAACTAACCCAGTGACTTATGTGAGTCCTTTCATTATTGATTTCTGAAATCACAGGTCGACCTGTTATGATCTCCAAAACAACAATCCCAAAGCTGTAAACATCACTTTTTTTGGTTAACCTGTTTGATGTGTAATACCTGAATATTCAAACATGTAACTTGGTTTGAATCCAAATATCATTGCAACTACATAATGCTGAATTCTAAAAGCAATAGTTTTGCTGATAGCAATGCACTTACTCGGGGTCCAGGTAGCCAGGGGTACCAGCAATGGATGCCGATACATGAGTGCCACCTTCAACTGGGAAAGTCTTGGATAGACCAAAATCAGCTAATTTGGCTTGTAAGTTCTCATTTAATAATATGTTTGTGCATTTCATATCTCTGTGGATTATTGATGGTTGGCAACCATTGTGCAAATACTCCAATCCTGCATTTTTCAATTTCTTGTATTTGGTTCACTTGCTATTGCAAATAAAACTGATAAAAGCTCGCTAAAAAGGGAAAATAAATTAAGCTAATGCATGCTAACCTTGTGCTGCTTCCAGTACCGTTTGGAGTCTTCCTTCCCAACTCAGGATACTATTACTTCTATCTGCATCCACTCCAGAAGATATGTTAACTTCTCCAACCATGTATGTATTGATATGAGAGAGTTCCCCAAAATAAACATAGCAGAAAGTGTTTTTTCCTTGCTTGAAGCAAAATTTATTGAATCAGAATGTGGAGCACAGTGTATCCAAACCTGACAGATGCTCTGCTAAGTTTCCTTTGGCCATGTACTCATATATTAGGCCCATGTTGGTGCCTTCTTTGCAATACCCGATAAGGCTTGTCAAGTTTCTATGATGAACTCTAAGAAGAAGTTCGACCTATATGAAAGAAATCGAATCTTTATTGATATCATAAGTGAGAAAGCTTTCATACATGTTAGGCTCTCATACCTCAGCTTGAAACTGCCTATTGCCTTGAACAGATGAATGAGATAGCATCTTTACTGCTACTTGAGTGTCATCCAAGTAGCCATGGAAAACTGTTCCAAATCCTCCTTTCCCAAGAATTCTTTCAAAGTTGTTTGTCATTCTCTGCACCTCAGAAAACGTGAACTGCCTATTCTTTGGCTCTGGTGACGGGGCTGAGTTTTGGTATTCATCATCCATATTTGGACCTGATAAAATCAGTATACGATTATGAGCATAAACTTTATGAGAATATTTCAAGAAAGAGCATGAATTAGGCTCCATTTAGTGTTCTAAATCTACTGATATTTGTAATGTTGATCATACCTAGTGGTGGTTTTCTCCTTTTAAGCCTCCATAAGGTAGCAAATGCAATTACGAGGACAGCAAATGAAGCAACTGATGCTGCAATTGGAACAACAACCGTTTTCTTCTTCTTCTTCTTCTTACATGAAAGTGATGCACAAAGGTTTGAATTTCCTTCAACACTACAGTCAGTTAACAACAGGAAGGTTAAAACTGGGAACTCACAAACAGTAAGGATTGCCATGTGATATGAAGTTTATTTAGCCTCCATGTCATTTGGCTTTATTGTTTACTAAAAACATGTGATCAATGGTTTAGAGAACCATAGTGGAAAATCACGGGAAGAATAGGTCAAGTTTCTGAACAGAGAGCATACCTTAACAGTAAGCCATTCTTTGACCTTTCAATAAGTCCAGCTGGAACTGTACCATTAAGCTTGTTATCTTTAAGGTTTCTGCAAAGTAAAGCAGTTGTGATCCTTGACTACTTATCTTATAAAGAAATTTTCATTGAGTCTATATCCTAAGTTACTTACAGCAGTGTCAAGGATTGCAAGTGAGATAGAAACTCAGGCACTGCTCCAGTCAAACTATTATTTGATAAGTCCCTGATATTTTCAAAGAAATAGTTAAGATTTTGATGTTTCTTCCATATATAGATTCAGGACTTTAGTTATTGAGATCTTGATATACTTACAAATGTTGTAACTGAGTGAGATTGGCTATGTAAGGAGGTATCTCTCCTGTCAATCCGCTCGAGGATAAGTTTCTGATTTAATGTTAAATAGAGTCATTGACAAAGATATTGAATTGAATGAAGATATTGATAGCTGGTAGAGGGAGGGGGAGGGGGAAGGGGGGGTGGTGGTGGTTTACAAACTTACAAGGATATGATTGTAGGTGAATTGTAACCGTCATAGCTGCAATTAAGTCCCTCCCAAGAGTATGCTTGAGGAGCACATGGATCTCCTTGCCAGTTTCTTTTCAATCCATAAATTGATTTTATGTTTGAGATTGCTTCAACTATTGTGTTCACAAATATATGAGAATTGGAGTTACAAGCCTGTGTATTGATTGTCTAGACAGGTAGCTAGCTAGTGAAAACCATAAACTCAGTTCTGAGGAGAATACCTTCTTTTTGGATTGTCTCAGATTGTAAGAATTCTTTTACCATATAAATCTCAATTGCGTTAAGGATTGGTGGATGGGTTGAATCAGCAGTTTTGTAGATAGAAAATTGGTACTGTCCACCAGTCAAGGCTGATTGAGTATACAGAGTGGTTGAGGACAAGTAAGCAGGACTGAGAGGTCCATACCAATGCTTGCCATTATAAGAGATGTTGAATGCTCTAGACTCATTAGCCAGGAGCTTCTCAACTTCAGCAAAGTGCATGAAAAGGTAAAACTGAGCGTTGGGAACAGAACTGGAGTCAATGAAGAAATCCAAGGAGTGGCTAACGTTCACTGGTGTGCCTGCAGTCCTCATGGCAAGTGATGGTGGTTGGTATTTATCGTCTTCAGAACCAACTGTGGAAGATGTACTTATTTGTGTCCAATCATTTCTTTCATAAGGCCACCAAATGCGATCATAAGCATCTTCTTCAAACCTGTTATTGCATTGGTCATTAACTAAGCAAAGGTATCTAGTAGTTATAGTTCTCTACTATGAAACAATTCAATAAATTGAAAAGTGAGAGTAACTTACCTGAATGTTGATCCCGTTGTTGAGCCAACATCATACCTTGTGAAGAGCTCCAGGGATCCAGTTTGAGTTCTGTAGGTTGTATTTTTCAAAAGCCTAAACTCTAATGCTGATATGAAAGGTATCCCATTTCCCGTGTTCACCAGACAAACATGCAAATGATTTGCTTGGAGGACATGAATGATATCCATGGTTATTGCGGTGGAAGCATTTTGTAATGTGACAGTACCCCACAAATTGGGTCCCAAATGCAGATCACATTGTGGCACTTCATTTAATCCGTCGTAGTTTCCATACATGAAACTCGCTCACAATTAAATATTGATCTCCCTTTGTGAGGGTAAGGTTGTAGCAATTTCGGTCCCCTTCAGGAAAGCTTCTAACATGCCACATTTGCCGCTGCATTCCTGTTTGGAATTCTGGTAAGACACTCTTAGCTACGCCAGTTTCCACGTAAGCTGCATCTGAAACGTAATCGATGCCTGTTGTGGCTTCAGTATAGTTCGAATCTTCCGGAAGCCCACAATCCAAGCTAACGAAACCTGAGAGAGCAACAAACAGAGGCCTTAGTCCTTCCCTGGTTAGTGATAAGAGTATTGAGATCCTCATTGAAAGATTAGTTAACTGAACCTGATTGATCAAGCTGGGCAGGAACCAAAATAGCAAAAGCAATGCTGCTAATGATGAATGCAAGGAGGACATGGTTTAGCATCTCCATTACAATTTTTAAACCCTCACAGCTGTGAGAGGACAATGAAGCAATTGAAATCTTATAACTTATAATTAATATATACTGGCAAAAGTATATACTGTCCGCTGAAATAAAAAAAAAAAAAACATTAAAGAAAGTTGGCCAATTATTCTTCCAGGAGCAATTTAAGCATTACGATTTTTATTTAGACTCTTGACCATCTCTACCAAAATTCTCTATCATTCCACTACGACCATCAAGTTTAAGCTTAGTGCGTAAATTCTTTCTGCTATATATGTGTTTGCTGCAAAAATTAAAAAAGTACTATCTTCTTTCATTGGTTGTTGCAGGTCAATGACGTGAAATTGGTGAACAAAACGTGACAACATTAACCATGGACATGGCCTTTCACACCTTACGTTCTCAGCTTACTTGTTATATGGGGTGGACTTCAGGGAAGACTTTGTTTAATTTATATTTTAACTTCATCAATATGTTTAAATGACGAGGAATTTGCTAAAATATTATTAGCAGTTGAAATATTATTATATGTACATATGACAAGATATTCAAATTAAATTTAAACAACAACAAACATATTTCAATTTTATATTAAATAATATGCTTTTTTCCTTTTTATAATTTTGTTTTATTTATTTCCTGTTTAATTTCTTTGGAGTACATATTGCCTATTGGACTTGCAAACCAAGTCAACTTATTTTACCGAAAGATAAAAGAGAATAGTTTTTTTGACTGTGAAGGGGGAAAATTAACATTGGATACCGCTCTATTCGTATTAATTTGGATTATTTAAGCTTCATAGTTCATAAATTAATTTGGTAGCTATAATTAATTATTTACAATGACTGCACTACTTATTCTCATAAAAAATTAATTAATGTAGAGATTTAATTAGACCCATTCTTCATCACTAGAGTTGCCTTGATGAGATGAACTATGAAGGACAACCATCTTTTTCATTTTTGTTTTTAAATTATACTTATTTTTAATTGCTTCGATGGAAAGTTGGGATCTCCTGTTGTAAAATATAAGTAAATTATTTATCTATATATATAGATAAATAATTGACTTATATCCTACAAAAGGAGATCCTGTATATATGATCAAAGAAAGATATTTAAATACAATAGGCAGGTTCGGAGCTAGTTGACCATATTCTAGTTAGAAGAATACTTCATACCATGACATTTTAAATAGAATTGCTTAATCCTGCTTAGCTGGGTGTCTAGATATATTATCTTCGGTGGACTTTGATGCCAATCTTGAAGATTGTACTTAACTGATAATAAATAATAGTTAGTTAATGAAGACATCTGATTGGAGAGAGAAAACAAGAAAACAAATTAAAATAGTAGCCTCTCATCCGCCGTAGGCCCGTCTCCTTTTACCGTTCTAGGCCTAAAAACAGATTTGGGTTTGGGCATGGAGTTATAGGCTTTGTTTCGGCCCATTTATCTTCCTCAATGCCATCATGTTCAACAACATCCCTTGGGCCCAAAGCTTCTTTTCATGTCATTACCTGAATGAGACCTGACCTCTCCTCATCTCTTAATCTGTGTATACACCAACATTGATGCCCTCCCAAGTGAAATAGAACTTTAGGGATTCCTCTCCCATTTAAACCCAATCACCAAATAATGTAGCAATATTTTGAAAAGTTGTGGGTTCCATGCATGAATTGGAACCCCAAGCCAACATCTTCTTTGGTCAAAATCCAAATCGGGTGACCAATCTTCAACCAATCTTCAAAGGCAGTAAACCCTTGAGATAAGTTCTTCCAATTTCCTTCTTTATATGCCTTTTTAAGTTCATGGCTTGGAAAAGAAGCAAGAAATTTTCTTCCAACAATCCTTCTTACTATGATGCCTTCGAGACCTTTTTCCTTGAGATCATCCATGATAGGTTTTGGTTCTGCGAAATTTTTACAATTTCCCAAAACAGGTTTTTTTTTTTTTTTAAAAGTAGTGCTTGATAATTGCTAGAACTGATTTTATATTTATTATCTTTTAATTCTAAGTTTTGCATGCATCTTTACTCACACAGTTTCTTCATATTCACATATAAATTTAGAGATCAAAATGCATCAAACAAATGACAAATAACATGTAATCTCATTATTATTTTCTTTTTTGTTGATTTCAAATTTTGTTTATTTATTTTTATATATATAAATTCGTAATACATATTCAATTTCCTAATGCAACCCAAAAAATCAATTTATATTTTTATAAATTATTTAAACATTAATATCATTGATATAATCATCAACTATAAAAAATTAAACATAATGCAAAAGTAATATTTATAAAATTATTTACATCAGTTTTTGTATCAAAGTTTATTTATTTACAAGATATGTGACCATCATATCACTTATTTATTTAAAAATATGAAAGAATATTTTTATTAGTCAATTTGTTTTATTTAAACAAATCACTTGCAAAATTACGAAATATTTACGTTTGAATATTTGACTCATTAATCGGTACATGATTTTTCTACTTAAAAAGTAGCGTTTAAGTCTCCTTTCTCCAAATCAAAAAAAAAAAAAAACAAAATTATGAAATACTTACACAAAAAAGTAATTAACTGCTTAAGAACTATGTATTCAATTCCTACCATCCCTCAATCTTTCAAATTAAGTTCACCACAGTCTAGATAATTTCAATTTTATGTTAAGGATTAAGATTTTAAATAAACACAATAAATAAAAATTATAATTAAATAATTTAATAGCATCTATAGTAATTTCTTTTTGAGAAAATCTTATTTCATTTATTCTTCTTTTTCCTTTTATATGTGAGGCCATTACAAAAATGTCAGCCATTGTCATTTTAATCTTATTGACATGTAAAAACAATAGTTCTTGAATTTGGTAGTGGAATAAATTTTATTTTACTATGTAAAAAACTAATGTCAATAATTCATTTTATTTTAATATCAAAGCAAATTTTTAAATTTTTCTCAAAATAAATTTATTTTAATCATAAAAAGATGTAATGTCAATATTATTTTAAAATAAACTATTAAGTAAATTGAAAAAATAAAAAATAATAAAAATCAAACCTAGTGCTAGGGGTGCCAGCAATAGATGCTGATACATGAGTGCCACCTTCAATTGGAAAAGTTTTTGACAGCCCAAAATCAGCTAGTTTGGCCTAGAAATCTTCATTTAATAAGATGTTGGTAGATTTCACATCTCTAAGGATGATTGGCGGCTTGCAACCATTATGCAGATACTCCAATCCTACGTTTTCAATTTCTTGTGTTAGTTCACTCTCCGTTTCAAACGAAAGGGTCATAAAATGGAGTACAAAATGTTAAACAAATGCGTGCCAACCTAGTGATGCCTCAAGGCTCTCCCCTTGTCCTTGAAGGTTAGGTGCTTGACATTTAATATTCTCGAGCAAGGTTCGAGAGCCGGTAAGGAAAGAAAAACTTAGTGCTGCCTCAAGTGCTATTCGACATCTTCCTCCCCAAATAAAAATATTGATGCTTCTTGTAATATTCATAAAAAGTGGGTTAAAAATTTTTATCTATTGTAAAAGATGATAGTAGTATGTTCTCTCTAAATCAAAATTATATATATGTGTGAATATGTGATGCACTTTGCATTCTAAACCTGATAGATGCTCTGCTAAGTTTCCTTTCGCCATGTACTCATAGAATAGCCCCAGATTGGTGCCTTCATTACAATATCCAATAAGGGTTGTCAAATTTCTATGATGAACACTCAGTAGAAGTTTCACCTATATTAAAAAAGCCCATATCATTAATTAGTTTGATATACATGTAATTATGTAAGACTTTTTCACAAGTGAGGTTGTTATACCTCTGCTTGGAATTGCTTATGGCCTTGAACTGATGATGGAGAGAGCATCTTCACTGCTACTTGGGTGTCCTCCGAGTGGCCATGGAAAACTGTTCCAAATCCTCCTTTGCCTAGAATTCTCTGGAAGTTGTTTGTCATCCGTTGGACATCAGCATATGTGAACAGCCTCTTCTTTGTCTCTAGAGACTGCGATGTTCTTTCAGATTTAGCATCCATCTCTCCATCAGAAAAAGTCATAATGGGTTCAATAACCATGTATATTTAGAAAATATTTCAATATTTTTTAAAAAAGTTTAATATCCTATGAGTCCACGAGTTATAATATTGGTGATCATACCTAGAGGTTTCCTCCTTTTGAACCACCATAAGGTAGCCTATGCAATTATGAGGACAGAAAATGAAGCAACTGTTGTTACTATTGGAACAACCACCTTTTTCTTCTTTTTCTTGCAAGAGGGTGATGTACAAAGATTTGGATTTCCTTTGACACTTCATTCCATTCAGCTAAAACAATAAAGAGTTAGATATGGAACAATAAGCAAGCGCTAACGATTGTGTCGCTGTTTGAAATTGCTGTTCATCCAAATAACTTAAGTACTCTCTTGTGATTTTATTTAATTTGTTGTTTTCTAGAAGGGCAAAGAAGGAAATTGATATTGCTCAAAATGCATACCTAAGTGTTAAACCAACTTTCAAATAGTTGAGATGGAACTGTACCATTAAGCATGTTACCTTCCAAATCACTGATCCTGTCAAATTATCATTTGGCACAAATAGGTATGGTTATTTCCACCCCTAATAGATACACAAACTGTTAGTGATATTGATCTTGAAAATATACTTACAGATATTCTAATTGGGTGAGACTTTCTATAACAGAAGGTATCTCTCTAGTCAACCAACTGGATGATAAGTCCCTGATTTTGTTGTCAGCAGTTTCATTAACAAAGATATGGATTTAATGGAAATCAGCTCCGGTTTGTGAAGGTGAAGGCAGAGACTTACAAAGATATGATTGTAGGAGGATCATAACCATTATAACTGTGATTAAGACCCTCCCACAAGTAATCTTTGTTAAAGACATGATATATAACTATAACACAAAGCAAAGACATGATATATTACTATAACACAAAATAAAGAGAAGTTGCAGAGAGTTGGAAAGCTAATGAGCAGAAACACGGTATTCATATTCAGTGCATGATGATCACATAGTGAACATATATATTACAAGATAATTGAGATTATAGCACCTGTAACAATAGCTTAACATGTGTACAAGAAAGGTAAAGACAACACATATATAGTAATTGCTGTCTTAATATAAGAAGTCTTAATCAACTAGTACCCTTACTAAGCACTAAGCATATTGGCAAAATACTTGCACATGTCCATGCAAGTGTTATTCTCTAACATTCCACCTTAACACTTGAAATGGAAAGATTTAGTTGAGTTCTGAAAGCTTCAAATCTTGATTTCTGAAAAGGCTTAGTCAAGATATTTGCTAGCTGTAACTCTGAAGGACAATATTGAACATTGAGCTCACCTCTTTGCGTTGTATCTCTAATGTCATGATATTTCACATTCATATGCTTAGTCTTGCCATGCTAAACAGGATTTTTAACAATAGCAATGGCAGACTTATTATCAACAAACAAATCTGTAGGAGTACATTGCTCAAGCTGAATGTCAAAAAGTAACTTCTTCAGCCAGATAGGTTGATTTGAAGTCTTTACTGCAGCAATATATTCAGATTCAACTGATGATTGAGCAACTACAGATTGTTTATGTGAATTCCAAGAGAAATGGCCATTACCAAGAGCAAATAAGTAACCAGATGTGCTTTTTGCATCTTTAACACTTCCTGCAAAATTAAAATTAGTATAACATGAAAGTGCAACTCTAGTTGACTTGGTGAAATGAATCCCATCAGATTCTGTCTCCTTCAGTATCCTAAAATTCTTTTGGTAGGCACTATATGCTGATCAGTTGGAGTTTGCATGAATCGAGAAAGAAATGCCACTGAGAATTGAATATCAAGTCTAAAGGCAAAAACATAGAGTAGGCATCCAATTAACTTCCTATAAATAGAGAGATCTTTAAGCTCATTACCAGTATTTTCACTAAGTTTACTGTTTCCAACAAATGGAGTTGTAACAGTTTTGCAATTTGTTATCTGAAACCTCTTGAGAACCTTTGAGATGTAGCTTTTCTGAGATAGCAAACACTAGTACTTAAATGATGAATTTCGAGTCTAAGGAAATATTTCATAAGTCCCAAGTTTTTCATTTCAAAATCTGCTTGCATTTGTGGTTTAAATTTTTACAAGGCATTTCACAACTCCCTGTAACTAGTAAGTCATCCACATATAATGACACTATCAATAGCAATTTATTACCAAATTTGAGAGTGTACAATGTAGCTTCATTCTTTGCTCAAATATGTTTTCATTCTCACAGCCCATACACTATAACTTGAGCCATCGAAGATTGGTGGAGGTTGTTGGGTTATATTGGGTGTTGTCATTGTGACAGTGGATTAGCCTAAGAGACAAGAGTTAATAGAAGACCACTAAGAACTAAAGAGAACTAAAAAAAGATTATCTAAGGTCTTATAGGAGTCAGAAATTGCTCTGATACCATATTAAAGACATGATATATTATTGTAACACAAAGCAGAAAGAAGTTGGAGAGAGTTGAAAAGTTAATGAGCAGAAATAAGGTATTCATATTCAACGCATAAGTATAAGTCTTATGTGGTTCAAAGCAAGGATAAAGATATTAAGACACCTTTGTATTACTAAATATGCTACCTTTGGATATAATTTTAGGCATGGATTGGTTATCTCCAAATTAGGCTAATGTGGACTATCACCACAAGTTAGTGAGATTCCATTTCCCAAGAGAGCCATTTTTCAATATCCAAGGTGATCATAACATTGCCTTAACTAACATAGTGTCTGCCATGACAGTGAGGAGGTTGTTGAGACATGATTGCCAAGGATACTTGGCCGTGATTAGAAACACTCAACTGAGGTTGGTAATGAGGTAGGTATGCCTATAATTAGAGTTTTTTGATATGTTTTTGGAGGAGTTACTAGTACCTCTAAAGAGGGAGATTGAGTTTTGTATTAATTTCGTATAAGATACTAGTTCGATATCTATATGGTCATATCATATGACATTAATAGAGCTCAATCATCAATTGAAAGATTTGTTGTATATGGGTTATATATGATATAGTGTGCCAACATGGAGTGTAGCAGTATTATTCATGAAGAAGAATGACGGATACGTAGATTGTGTATTTATTATTGATAGTTGAATAAGGTAACGATAAAGAACAAATATCCTTTTTCATAAATTGATGATTTATTTGAATAGTTATAAGGAACTAAATGTTTATCCAAGATTAATCTTTGCTTAAGCTACCACTAGTTTAGGATTAGGTAAGAGGATGCGCTGAAGACTACATTTCGAACTAAATATGGTCACTGTGAATTTTTTGTTATGTCTTATGGTCTTACAAATGCCCCGACAACTTTTATGGATATAATGAATTAGGTGTTCAAACCATACTTGGATAGATTTGTAATGGTGTTCATTGATGATAGTTTGGTGTAGTTGAGGAGTAAGGAAGAACACAAGCAACATCTAAGGCTTGTACTCCAAGTGTTGAGAGAGTATCAGTTGTACGTCTAATTTTTCAAGTGTGAGTTTTGGCTCAATAATATGAGCTTTTTGGGTCACGTGGTTTCTAATGATGGTGTTAAGGTTGACCTGAAAAATGATTGAGGCGATGGAGAAATGACCAAAGCATATGTTTGTGATAGAAATTCATAGCTTTTTAAGATTAATTGGATATTATTGATGGTTTGTAAAGAACTTTTCTAAACTTGTAGCGCTCATGACTAGACTGCCTTAGAAAAATGTGAAGTTTCTATGGTTCGAAGCATGCGAGGAAAGCTTTGGAAAGCTTAAGACTTGTCTTACTTCAGCTTCAATACTTAGCTTAACGCTGGATGTGGGTGGGTATACGATTTATTGTATTGTGATGCCTCGAGAGTTGGATTAAGATTCGAGTTGGTGCACCATGACAAAGTGATAGCTTATGCCTCGAGATAGTTGAAGAGGCATGAGCAGAATTATCCCATTCACAATTGGAGATGGTAGCTATTATGTTTGCGTTGAAGATTTAGAAGCATTATCTTTATGGCAATACTTATGAGATCTATACTGATCATAAGCATCTTAAGTATATTTTTCAGTAGAGTGATTTTAGACTTAGGCAACGTTGATGGACAGAGTTACTTAATTAAAGACTATGATTTCTCCGTGGTGAATTCTTTGAGTCAAAAATCCATAAGGAGTTTAGCCCATATATTAGTTAAAAGGAGATATTTGGTGCAAGGTATTCATGATCTTGAAGATATGGGATTACATTTAGGGTCCAAGAAACTGATACCTTGATAGCACATATTCAAGTTAGGTCAATGCTACTTGATCGCATCAAAAAAGCCCTAGATAAGGATGAGTGGGTGACCAAGGCCATTAAGAATGTCCAAGGGAGGAAAGGATAACACTTTGTTAGAGATTTTGATGGTTTACTCCCCTATAGAGCTAAGGCATATGTGTCAAACATAGATGGTTTCAGGAGAGAGATTTTAGAAAAGGCACATTTATCTACTTATGTCGTACAATGCATCCGGTAACCACCAAGATATACCACGACTTGAGAGAGGTATATTGCTTGGAATGTCTAAAGAAAGACATAGTAGAGTTTAAGGTCAAGTGTCTAGTGTATCAATAGGTTAAGGCAAAACATTAGAGACTACCAAGTTTACTACAACCTTTACCTATACCCGAGTGGAAATGGAAACACATCTTGATGGATTTTATGACAAGACTACCTTGAACAAGTAAGGGGTGCTATTTCATTTGGGTGATAGTTGACATATTGATCAAATCCACTTATTTTCTATCGATGGAGACCATACATGGAGTGGCACAGTATATGGGATTGTATATTGATGAGATTGTAAGGAGTCCTAGTCACTATAATCTTTTATAGGGGAAACTCAATTCAGTAGTCGATTTTGGGGGAAATTTTAGAAGACTTTGGGAACTAAGTTGAATTTTAACACTACTTTCCACCTTAGACAGATGGACAGACTTAGAGAACCATACAAACTTTGGAGGATATGTTACTAGCTTGTGTTGTTGATTTTGAAATTACATGGGATTGACACTTACCTTTAGTGGAATTTGCTTATAATAATAGTTATCTGTGAGTATAGAGATGGTGCCCTATGAGGCCTTATAGGGGTGAAAGTGTAAATCACATATTGGTTGCTTTGAGGTTGGTGAACAGAAACTCTTTGGACCGAAGATTGGTTCAACAGACCACCAACAAGATACAAATAATTTGAGAGAAGAAGTTGATGGCGCAAAGTCAATAGAAGTCTTTTTTCGACCTTAGACATAGAGATTTGGAGTTTTAGGTGGGTGATCATGTGTTTTCAAAAGTGTTGTTAACTAAGGCAATTATGAGATTTGGCAAGAAGGGCAAGTTAAGTCCAAAGTATATTGGACCATTTGAGGTTCTAGATAGAGTTGGCATAGAAACTTATAGATTGGCTGCCCCTGGACCTTTCTAACATTCTTGTAGTGTTCATGAGTTCGTTCTTCATAGGTACAATCTCTACTTATCTCATGTGATCCAATATAAGGAGAATTAGTTAGGAGACGACTTGTCGTATTAAGAGCTACTAGTGGAGATCTTGGACAGGCAAGTTAAGAGACTTTTTTCCAAGAATGTAGCCTCAGTGAAGGTTCTATGGCACAACCACTCTATGGAGGAAGTGACTTAGGAAGTCGAGGACGAGATGCAGACGAAGTATCCACATTCGTTCCAAAATTGGAAGTTAGTTAGTATTTGATTTAAATTTGAAGACGAATTTTCTTGAGGGGGAGAGAATTTGAAACCCTAACTTTGAATTAAGGTTAGAAATGTAACTTAATTAGCTTGGTCAGCTAACGATTTAATGTTTTTCTTTTGAATTCTGAACATTTACAGCCTAGACATGCATGTTTTCATAAATAAATAAGTCTATTTGAAAGATAAGACCTAGAAACAATCAAATGGCTTGATTTCAGACTTAAAAATAGCATTATGTGTTGTAAACGAGGTATCAATACTTGAAACATACAAAATCTTCCTAATGAACAAGTAACTTGTTCATGAAGTATCGATACCTTTACCCAAAAAAGATAAGTATCAATACCTGCACCCAAGGTCAATACTATCTTTATTAGACTTTTCATTAGAGGTGCCTCCGTGCTTGAGTCATAAAAAGTGTGAAGGAAAAAATTCAATAAAGACATAATGATTAGTCTTGCAAGCTTTAGATACTAACATCAAGTTTTTATTCATGTGAGGAACACGTAAGACATTGGATAGATGAAGTGATTTAGTGTGTGATGGAATAAGGGTAGAGACACTGTGTTTAATAGACAAACCTGTGCCATCTACCACAATGAGTTCATCTAGGCTAACATAATCAGTGTATGAAGACAAGTTGTGCAAGTTGGAGGTGACATGGTGAAAGGCTACTGAGTCTACTATCCAGATTTGATTAATTGCTAGTTTGATGGAAGCGAAGTTGGCGACTGGTTCTTTGGTCATTCCTCTAATGCTGCGGTAAGTTTTTGCTTTGTGCCCTGTTCTATCACAATATTGGCACACTAGTTTGGCATTTGTAAATTCATGATGAATTAAACTTCCTCCTTTAGTACTGAAAATTACCTTTGTTGGAGTAATGGCCCCAGGTGTGACCGCCTCTCATAGTGGAAGGGTACTTGAATTTCTTAACATAGTTGGCTGCGACAGTCGGGATGGTAATTTCATCATCCTGCTTGATTATGTTTTCGATGTCAGTGAACTTGTCATGTAGCACTTCAAATGTAATGATGGATTCTCTAGCTCTAATGGCTGTTGAAATCTCTTTGTATTCTACCCTGAGACCATTTAAGATGAAAATTACCAAATCATCTTCTACCATTTAAGGTAAAAAACTACATTACCAAGCTTAGTGTCTTCTAATTATTTACGTACATGGCTTAGTTTCTTGAAAGTGTTTTATGTGTGTACAAGTATAAAATTACAAACACGTAGCCCAGGACAAATTTTTCCTAAAGATACTTGATAGCACCACTTTTGGTGTGGATGAAGCCAAAAAGCAACAAAGCTCGAGACACCATAAATATGTTGAATTATCACATAGTTTCCCCCTAATCACCTTGCCAGAGGAGTTATTTCAGAACCAAGATCCATGGCTATCATGCCAACTGATTCTTGTGATTCATCTTCGTCTAATCCTCTAGTCCTCTTTACCTCGGCTAACAAACAGTCGCTTAATTCCGTCACCACATAATTCATAGTTGGCCTTTTCGTGGAGGCAGGAGATAAGCAAGCCATTGCCACTTCTATTGCTTTCCATACAGAATTTATTTCAAAATTTCCTTGCAACCTCGAATCGACAATGTTTTCAATGTCCCCGTTGGACAACATGGAACCAACCCAATGACTTATGTGAGTAGGCTCATTTATGGTTCTTGTAATCACAGGCCGGTTTGTAATGATTTCCAAAAGAACTACCCCAAAGCTATAAACGTCACTTTTCTCAGTCAACCTGTTTGATGTAGAATATCTGCATGCCAAGCATGAAAACCAACAAATTTGCAGCAACAAATGATGTGGAAAAGAGATAAGAAATCAACAATCATCTCAAAACAAGATGTACTTACTCAGGGTCAAGGTATCCAGGGGTACCAGCAACGACAGTGGAGACATGAGAGCCACCTTCGATTGGAAATGTTTTTGATAGCCCGAAATCAGATAGTTTAGCTTGCAAGTTTTCAGTTAATAAGATGTTGGTAGACTTTACATCTCTGTGAATTATGGGTGGTTTGCAACCATGGTGTAAATACTCAAGTCCTGCATTTTCATTTCTTTTTTGTACATTTAGTTTTTAAAATAAACAAAAAAACAAAGACTATAGAAATTATAGGTGAGCTCATGCTAACCTTGTGCTGCCTCTAGCGCTATTCCAAGTCTTCCTTCCCAATTCAAGACACTGCTACTGCTATCTGAATCATAAGAAGTGAGTTAATGAATTCTTCTTTTTCTTTTGTTGAAGTAAATAATGAAATGAAACTAGTGTAGTAATTGACTTAATGAATTCAAACCTGAGAGATACTCTGCTAAGTTCCCTTTGGCCATGAACTCATAGATTAGCCCCAAGTTAGTGCCATCATCGCAATATCCAATAAGCGAAGTCAAATTTCTATGATGTACTCTCAAAAGAAGCTCCACCTATATATAGTCATAAATTCAAACCCAAATTTTAATTAGTTAAATATGTAATTAATGAGGTCAAACTTTAGTACTAGTACTCAGGCTCTTGTACCTCAGCTTCAAACTGCTTATACCCTTGAATAGATGATTTTGATAGCATCTTGACTGCTACTTGAGTGTCACCTAAGCAACCGTGGAAAACTGTTCCAAATCCTCCTTTGCCAATAACTCTCTCAAAATTATTTGTCATCTTTTGGACATCTGAGAATGTAAATTGTCGATTCTTTAACTCCTTCTGCTGGTATGGTTTTCTAGAGCCCAAATCCATTTTGCCTGCTGATGATAACGTTAAAATAAGTTCAATATGCATACAACTATTGACAAAAACTTTGGCAATAGCATGAAATGGTTCAATTTAATGTTTCTTAAATCCACCATTTTTTTGTGAGGTTGGTTCTACCTGATGGTTTCGCCCTTTTAAACCACCATAGGAAAGCCGAAGCAATTATGAGGAAAGAAAGCACTGAAGCAACTGATGCTACTATTGGAACCACTGCACTGTTCTTCTTCTTCTTTGAGCATGATTCCCATGTACAAGGAATTTGATTTCCTTCCACACTTAATGATCGATTCAGTTGACAAGGAGAAAAAGCAAGACTTGGATTACAAGGGCTAATAATTGTCATCCGGAACCAATCCTAATTTCTAATAATTAAACATCTCATGTAGTAAATTTGTTTTGATTTTAGCTAAAGAGGTAAGTAAAAGAAACTCAAGGAAATTGAATATTCATAAACATAAATTAAAAGCATACTTCAATTGTAGCAAACCCTTGTTTGACCTGTCAATGAGTCCTTTGGGAACTGAACCATTAAGTGCGTTTCCTTCCAAGTTTCTACGAAGATAGAGAAGAAATTTTCTTTGACTCCTTAATCAAAATTTATATTTTTCAAGTATAAAATCTCAAATAACTTACAACAGAGTCAGAGATTGCAGTTGAGTTAGAAACTCAGGCACTGGTCCAGTCAAATTATTGTTTGATAAGTCCCTGATATTGTAATAGACATAGGTAAGCTTAATTTCTCCTCCATCCTCATTATAGGACGATTGCTTCTTATTTCATATGAGATGGAGACACTTACAGATATAGCAATTGAGTGAGATTAACGATATTTGGAGGTATCTCTCCACTCAAACGGCTGGAGGATAAATTCCTGATTTCATGAGCAATAGTTTTATTAACGATAATAACGAAATTATTTGAAAGCAAATTAGAGGCTAAGTTGAACTTCAAGGCATAGACTTACAAAGATATGATCCTGGGTGGATTGGAATCCTCATAACTGCAATTAAGACCTTCCCATGAGTATTTTTGTGGAGCACAAGGATCACCTTGCCAGTTTCTCTTCAATCCGTACATTGATTTTATATTCACGATCGCATTAACTATCATGTATTTGTGAAAACAGGAGTGATATTAATTATTCAGAATGATAGGTATGAAGAGAGAATATTATATCATTAGTTTTAGAGAACATACCATCTTTTTCAACTGTTTGTGACTGTATGAGTTCCTTTACACGATAAGCCTCAAGGGCATTAATGATGGGTGGAAGGCTTGAACCTCTGGTTCTTACCATTGAAAACTGACCTCCTTTTATTGCTGATAGGCTTTGTATGGTGTCTGCCCGCAAATATGTAGGACTGTAAGCTTGGAACCAAAGCTTGTCATTAAGATAGATGATGAACTCTCTGGACTGGTTAGCTTGGAGCTCTTCAATTTCTGCCACGTGCACGTACAAATAAAATTGGGAATTGGAATCAGAATCTTGGACGGAAAAATTCAAGGGTTGACTTGCGTTTGCTGGTATGCTAGCAGTCCTCATGGCAAGCAATGGTGGTTGGTAATCGCTGTTACTTGAAATGGGAGAAGAGGTGCTTATTTGTCCCAAATCATTTCTTTGGTAAGGCTGCCAGATACGATCGTAAACATCTTGCGGAAACCTGAGGCAAATATTGCTCATTAACTAGGAAAGAAGTATCCAAAATTTATTTTTCTTTCATATTCACCACAAGTTTCGGTAAATGACATACCTGAACGTTGAATTAGATGTTGAACCAAAATCATCCCTTAAGAAAAATTCCAGTGCTTCTGTTGCAGACTGAGTGTTGTAGGTTATGTTTTTCAAAAGCCTTAACTCTAATGCTGATATGAAAGGTATCCCTTTCCCAGTGTTGACAAGACAGACATGCAAATAATTTGATTGAAGAACTTGAATGATTTCCTTGAATATAGCAGTAGATGCATTTTGAAATACCATTGTAGCCCACAAATTAGGTCCTAAGTATAGATCAAATTCCGGTGCTTCATTTTTTGCATCATAGTTTCCATACATGAAACCTGTTCTGATTAAATACTTTTCACCCTTTGTGAGGTTTATCATGTAACAGTTTCGGTCTCCTTCAGGGAAACTTCTGAGATACTCTAGAACCTGTTGCTGCATGCCTGAATTGAATTCAGGTAGCCTATTGCTGATGCCAGTTTGGATGTATGGTGCATCTGAAGTATAATTTATGCCTGTGGTGCTTTCATTGTAGCTTGAACGTTCTGGCAACCCACAATCTAAGCTAATGAACCCTGGGAAGAAGCATGGGAAGGCCTTGGTTATTTGGTTAGTTAAAGAGAATTGGAAATGCTATCCAGAGAGTTAGATGGGCTAACCTGATTGATCCTGTGCATGAATGATCAGAAATGCCAGAGCAAAGCTGCTAAACAATAGGAAATGCCTTCTCTTCCCCATCTGACTCTTCGACTTTTCACATTTGAGAGCAAAGAAGCAGTTAGTATCTTATAACTTAGATGACACATAAGAACTAAGTACCATAAGGAAACGATAATTTTTTTTGAAAGGTCATAAGGAAACGATAAACTGGTATAAAAAACTTGGTCAATTGTACAACATATTTTTGTCAGGCCTTCCTTCTCTGTGGGTACTGTTTCATGTTTGATTTCTCTGTTGAAAACGGAAATTGGCGCACAGACAAATATGATCAGATCATTAAATTAGGAATTTAGGCTGTAGTAAGTAAACGGTCTTAGCAAACTGTATTTTTCAATGGCGGGCTTGGGAGAAGACTTTGTTTAATAATGGTTTAGTCATTATGCCTGTTGGAAAACGCGAACTCCCATTTGTGCCTTGATTGCTACTATATTAATTAAAAATTAAAATGAAATATTATACCTAGACTTATGTGATAATTAATTAATGTTGTGCAACGATTAGTAAAACCTTTGCTGATGACACAAGGAAAATTTTAAAAACAATTAAAATTCCCATGAGTTGAACAAGTACTTGATGTGCTAGAAGGGGCATTAGTCATTACCATTAACCCAAAGAAAAGCTTGGGATGTGACACACTTTTTTGACTAAGTTATTCTTGGTGTAATTTCAAAATAAAAAATAATCTCTTTAAATGAAATTTATCTTTTAATGTAATTATTGAAATAATATTTTTATCCAAATGTTATATATGAAAAAATACAAGTGTTTTTAAGATAAAATGGTACCTTGATGAAAGGATTATATCATAACGACAAGTTTATATAAAAAACTTGCTACCAATCATTTTGACATATCAAAACAAATAAGATAAGAGTAAAAAAATCAAAAAAGATAGAAGTGTTATATTTTAAAAATAAACATAAGTACATGAGTTCTCATCAGCTATCAAAAGAATCCAAATTCTTTATAATCCATTTGCTGCAAAAAATAAGTTTTAAAGCTGCACAACTTTGCAAACCCTCGAATATCTCTAATGATTTACTCTTGTAATGTGTAAAGGCAAAGTTAAATATTAACTTCATTAAATCTCAAAGACTATTAGCATAATTCTTCTTTTGCATATCGAATGATGGGATGAAATAAATTTTAAAAAAGTCTACTGAAATTCTTGCTTTAAAGTCAATTTTGTCGATTTCTTGAATTTCATCTAAATCTTATTTATACTAATAATTTTGAGACTTATTTTTTGTGGAATTAGAATTTAAAATGACTTCACCAAAATAAGATAGTTATGAACATTGTCAAGTTGGAACACTTTGAAAAAAAATTTAAGAACGAGATTCATTGTGGCAAAATAGCTCTACACCATATCATAAGATAAGTTTTCTTCCTTATTTGATATGAATATAAATGATATTGTGTATGATATGCATAGTAAACACCTATTGATTGAAAAGAAGTACTTTGTCACATCTATAGATGATCATTTTGTTATGAATCAATTTTATGAGCTTGAAAGCATGCTTGATACACTACTAAAAAACAAGCTTTTTCAAACGAAATTTTTTGTTGAAAAAAATTAAACTTTCATTGAAAATGTTTTTTTTTCAAATTTTTTATGAAAAAATCCGTTAAAACTTCCATCGGTAAAAACATCGTTAGAAATACTTTTTAATGAAAATTTTTAACGAAAAATTTCGTCACAAAATTCTATTAGAAAAACTGTATAATTCGTTATCGTATCAATTTCCTTGGAGATGCATTTCCAAAGAAATTCGTAAAAAATTTCGTACAAAATTTCCATTGGAAATACATTTCCAACTAAATTTCCATTGAAAATTTTCAACAAAATATTTCATAGAAAAAGGATTTCTCACGAAATTCCATTGAAAATTTCTCATGGAATTTTCATCAGAAATTCATTTCCAATAGAAAATTCCTTGAAAATTTTCTGATAAAATTTTTCATCAATGATGCATTTCTAACAAAATTTCTATTATTCTGTTAGAAATGCATTTCCAACAAAAATTACCAACTAAAATTTTAGTATTATCAATTAACATCCATAATTCACATTAAAAATTTATAAAAAATACACATTAAAAATTAAAATTCAAAATCAATTTCATGCAATTAAAAATCATCACAAACACCATATCTAAAAATGTCAAACAAATATAAATATAAAGCTAAATATGCTATCGTATGTCATACTAAAAATGTATTCAAAGTCCAACAACGGAAACGATGTTAATACATTATTGTGTGTTGTACTAAGTACAACTATAACAGACACCCGAGTATCAAACCCATACACGTGAGTGTATATAGTTTCCATCCCTCCAAAATCTTCAATACACATGAGTGCTTGTTCTCAATTCCACATTCCTTTAAGAGGTTAAGTGCTGCCACAATTATGCCACCTAAAATTTTTAACAAGAAAACTAGCAAAAGAAGTGCAACAAAATCAACCTGTCTTAGGAAAAACAATCACTTAAAAACACAATGCCTACAAATCTAACAATTTGTGTTTGCACTGCTACAAGGAAAATAGTTATATTATCTTCACTTTGAATGCAAAAATCAATGATTTACTTCACTTCGAATGAAATATGAGGGGAAAATGCCATAAAGCTTTATAGTTACATAGGACGGATATAACATAAGATTTCCAACAGTTACATGAAGATTAGTACCTGTTGCCAACATTGAATCTACCACAAAAACTCGAGATCCTTCAGGAAATTTGTCAGGCAACCTACAGCAGACATTAACATAAGTTACACACACACCCTAACATAAAATAAAAAACAGTCCATAATGATACCCAACTAGAACGTAAGCCTGCACTGAAGCAAAGCAAAAGGATGAAATAGAGCTGGACCAAAATAGGGTGGTACAGTTCAAAAATGGTTTTCTACTACACAAAAACGAATCTTCAACTGGAAGGTAACACTCCAATTTATTATGCTTTCAAAACACTAGGGGGTAGGAACCATATATACAAAGAGAAGTGAAGTAAATTCTTACTTATTTAGATAAACTGTCCGCAAAAGTGTCTCTTCATCTCTGCTTACCCCTGCATTCACAAAACCATGAATAATCATAAACAACTAAACTGCTCGGCCACGAAAAGAATATGAAGGAATAAAGCTAGTCTTGAAGACCAAGCAATAACAAAAGCCAAAACAAAGAAACTTTCGAACAAATGGACTACACTATTTTTCATGAGTTAGGGGCGAAGGGGGAAAACTTAAAAGATTGTAAAAACAATATAAAAAATTTATCAATATGCACTATCTCTCCTCTCATGCTTTATATGTAATTGACAATATATATATATATATATATATATATGCTTTATATGCACTATCCCAAATAATTGACAATATATATCACTTATACCGGTAATTGGCTTATACAGCTCAGTATGGACTATTGAACAGACCAAAAGAAGTGTTGATATTCTTGATATTACTAGAGAAAATTAAAAATTCTAAGTTACCACTGCGTCATATTTAATAGCATCATCTACACAGAAAAGCACCCCCAAAGCCGCAAACTTAGTAAGACATATATGTAATAATATTATCATCTCCCAACCGGTACCAATTTATAAAATAATTTTTTAGAACATCAAATTCATGAACACAAGCATCCTAGATTAAAGCATGAAATTGGTCATATGAAAAACATCCAATTCAAGATAAAAAGCTCTCACCAGATTTTTCCTCTGTGGATTTTGGCTTCGTGCTGGGGGTTTCTGCATCAAGCAGAGAAGCAAATTTGTTCCTGCATCTAAGTATCATCATGCAAAATGCCACCTTAAGACTTTACAAAAACACTAGTAGGATAAGCAGGACAACCATACCCGGATTCCCACTTTAATCTTTGACTTACATTTTAGAAATTGTTTGTAGGCTAATGGAAACTAAGCTTGAGACCGTATACCATTGGTTCACTTATTCTTTTGGCTCACACATATTTCAACTTCACTAAACAGAAGAAAAATGCTGACTTTCGTAATACTGCTGAAGCAGAAGTAGAATGTTAAGCTCATCTCTTTATCAGAACATAAGTCGATGGGAAAGCATTAGGCCAAGAAATTTCCCATAATATATGCAAAAGGATGATGCAAAATTCAAACATTATCAACATACGTGAAGAGTTATTGGATTTCAATAATAAAGAAACAAAAAAATCAAGCAAGATTGTGGGTGCCATACCTTTGTGTCTCTTGAAACATGCCAGAGAACAACTGGAAAGTAATGGAAAAAGAAAAGAGTAAAATAAAAAATGCTCAGACAGAAAAGGAAAAGAAGAGAGAGAGCAGGCAGAACTTTCTAAGGAACAAGACAAGAGGGGCACTTGTACTTGGATTGAGCTTGGTTGCAAACTTGACACTGCCGTGAAGGAGCTCCCAGTCTACCTCTTCCACAGATAACAAAGCAACAACCTACTTAACATAATAACGTTTGATTACAGAGCTAAAAGTTAACGCAAGAAGACCAAAACAGCTATTGATCTTAGAAAGAAGAGAGTTATGAGAACGAAAATTTGGTAAAGAGGCTGTCAGCGAGGAGCACGGGTCAGCAAGGGTCGGCAAGTGGCAAGGCAGGGCAAGGGATGACAAGCAGCAGGGGATGAGCTTAGGGCGGGAAAGATTGAAAAGTTGGGGAAAGATGTGGGGAAAAAGTTAGACATGAAGGCCCGGTTATATAGTATTTAATAGGGGATTTTTTTTTGCCCTAAAAAAAATAAACTGTTTTTGAAAATAAGTAACGAGATAATTTTAACTGTTTTAACTATCACAGTAGATTTTGACATAAAAATATCCTTAATGAAACATTCGTTGAGGCGCACTATTAAATACAAGAAAAATCAAGAAATAAATAGATAAATATGTAAATAATTTATGAATTTTTAATTTTCTGCAAAACATTTATTTTTTTTTAGCTAAGCTTGTGCGAGGGCCAAAATAATATTGTATGAGAAGGTTTTTCAGATATTTTGGACATGACATTCAAAATCAGTCCCGGTGAATCGAAAGCTTCGAGGATGATGTGCAACCAGAAATCCGTGATATAGTGATGAATCGGAAGGAGAAAGATGTGAATCCAAAGCACGAAATCGTCGTGCTATAGCAGGGCATATGTGAGACGGCTGTGGCACGATAGGGTTTAGAGTTTGTGACACGACTCAGAGGGAATATGCGAGTTGACATTGTGATAATATGTGACATGGCAGAGAATGTGGCATAAAACGGTATGGTGGGAATGTGGCATGAAACAGGGTTGTGACACGGCAAGGTTTAGAGTTTGGTGACACACCATGGAGGGAATCTGTGACACTCCAAAGTTTAGAGTTTGTGACACGGCATGAAGGGAATTTGTGACACGCTAGAGTTCAGAGTTTGACACGGCATGGATGGAATCTGTGATACAACAGTATTCAGAGTTTGTGACACGCCATGGAGGGAATCTGTGATATGCTAGAGTTTAGAGTTTGACACGACATGAAGGGAATCTGTGACACAGCAGGGTTCAAGGATTGTGACACACCATGGAGGGAATCTGTGAGACGCTAGTGTTCAGAGTTGGTGACACGATAGCGAAAGACGTTTGTGACACGGCAGCATTCAAGGTTGTGACACGCCACTGAGAGAATCTATGACACGCCATGTGTGTGTCAGACGGCATGGCTTGTCACCGCGTGACATGACATGTTTGAAAGCGAAAGAAAAAAAAGCGGGCAAAAAAAAATGAGGAAACCGATTTGACTTCCATTGAATGAATATTATAAGACCATCTCATTTTAAATTAATTATTTTTCAGAAATCGTAAACGTCTGTGTCAAGGGTTCTCAAAGAGTTTGATTCATTCTTCATTTCTAAAGATACCAGAGAGTTAGACTTCCTTCTTTGCAAGCTTAACAAGACAAGAGCAACACTGTCGGTTATCAATGAAGAGGTCAGTCTGAAATTAAAACTTTCTTCTGTTCTTTACTTTTTTGCTGGGCTTGTTTGATATGTTCGTGTTATTGTCTTTTGGAATGGTTATGTTAGATTAGTTTAAGAAGAAATTATATTTAGATTAGTTTAAGGTGATTTTTGAAATGTTATTGCCTTAGTTAAACTGTTTTCTTCTCGGTTTTATGGTTTTATGGTCGTATCAAAGCTTTGAAGGAGTTTCGTGTCTGCATATCGTGAACTGTGAAAGGACTTTTGCAAGCAATCACTGCCCACTTGCTTTTGTATAACGTTAAATGCTACTTAATTTGGCAGCGTGAACTGTGAAGGTTGAAGATCCAAAAAGAACTTGTCATCATTTTGCTATATATTGTGATTTATTTCTGTCATGAATAAATTAGTGGAGGACCAAAAAGAAAAGTAGGCAGATATGATGGCATGGCTATGTTACTTATCCGGTTATGAAAATTTCTTAGGGCAAGTGGGGATTTGGGTGCGAGGAAATCTGGATTATAGTATAGGTAATTGCAGTTAATGCTCTTCGGAAAACATGCTCAAGAAAGGAGTAGTCGTAACCTAAAAATAGAAAGAGGTTATTGACTTGTATAGCAAATATTATATTGAACTATAGGTCAGATTTATTCAGTTACAATATTAGAATATCTTAATCAAGCTCCACAGTTTCCTCTATGCCTAAGGACTTTGGCTAAATCAAACTTGTGCTTTCCACATTGTAAGCTATCATTTTCATCATACCCAGATCAAAATCAGTTCTGTTTTTCTGGCCGATTAAAAACCCGAAACGCCGGTGGCTCATGCCTTCAGGAGATCACAATATATAAGTTAGCATAAGAACCCAGGCACTCAGTATATGACATAAATTTGTTATTCTTAGACTTGTATATTGATGATAGGATTTTTAGATAAATTCTTATACAAATAATCTTGTTAGCTTTTTAGTTGTAAACACAGCTTTTTGTTCTTTAATTTGGATGCAAAATTATTTAGCTTCTGTAACCACGGTCCACAGAAGCAGTGTAGATCAGATACATAAGGACTACTTCATATTCAAAAAGAAAAAAAAATTGAAATTGAAGGATGAATCCAGAAAAGACAGAATAAACATGGTAACAGAACAAGTAACAAGAACATCCTTTTTAACCTGGGTGGCACAATAGCGTTTCCAGTAATGATATTTACTATCTCGCACTGGGAACAGATCCTGTTCCAATATTCAGAGGAATTATCTCAATAGATTCTGCTGATCTTGACTCCAGCTTCTTGGACCATGCCATCTGCATTTTCAGACACACTTTCAGATCCATCACTGTACTGCTCATATTAGGTCTTGCTTCAGGATTGCTTGATACACAAGTCATTGCTAAGTCCACAGCTTTCCATACAGAATTAATGTCATAAACCCCTAAATGCTGGTCAAGAATGTTTTGTATATCTCCTCTTTCAAGCATTGGTGTCACCCATTTAACAAGGATGATGTATTCATTGTTTCTACGAATGATTGCTGATTGCCCCGTGATCATCTCCAAGAGAACAACCCCAAAGCTATAAACATCATTCTGCTTGGTTAATCTTGTTGAGATATAGTACCTAGTCCAAAAACGTATTTTTATAGGATCTTATTAGTCTGTAAAACAAGGTGGTCGACGCATTGGAGAGTTGATGCTTGTAATTTTGCGAGGAGGCATTCAAGCAAGAGCATGATAACTTACTCTGGATCAAGGTACCCTGGAGTACCACAAACTTTGTCAGTTGTTACTCCACTGCTAGATTCAAGCTTAAAAGCTTTTGACAACCCAAAATCTGCAAGTTTGGCACGAAACTTCCTATCCAATAAAATGTTGCTACTCTTCACATCTCTGTGGATTACAGGTGGCTTAATGCCCTCATGTAAATACTCCAAACCTTCAGCAAGAGTTCAAGTCAAGTCACTCTAACTAAATAAAATTTTGAAACAGAAATATATGAGGCATAAAATGTATAAAACTTCCACGTGTTTGATTAGCGTGTTTATCGTGTTCAAATATGAAAAGGAGAAAGAAAATGAAGGATTATAAAGATGTGCATTTCTCACCTTGTGCTGCATCTATTGCTATTTTTAGTCTTTGTTCCCACCCCAGGGAATTTCTGTTTCTGTCTGCAGCCATATGATGACAATCTGAGTCTATCTGATTATTGAAGTAGATAAAGGACCAAAAGCATTATAGGAAATTTCACTATCAGGCAAAGTAAAAAATCTAAGAGGAAAAATATGACAATCCTTTTGGAAAACAAAAATGGACAGAAAATTTGCGGTTTATATACTTTGCCACTTCTATCTTATAAATTCTTTTAACAAAATATGGGGAAGATTGCAATAGATACCTTTTAAATGCCATTCTAGATTTCCATTGCACATGTATTCATAGATAAGCCCCATGTTTTTGCCATCATTGCAATACCCAATTAGAGAAGTCAAGTTTTTGTGATGAACTGTCATTAGAAGTTTGGCCTGCGATTTGGAAGGAAATAATTGATTATCATTCAAGATATAAACTGCAATAATTTTGTGGGAACAATATGTTTGGTTTAATCCTTAATGCTTTAGCAACATATTATATTAAAACTTTGGACATAACTTACCTCAGCCTGGAACTGTTCAGACCCTTGATTTGATGATTCTGAAAGCATCTTAACAGCAACTTCAGTGTCATCATTCAAGCATCCGTAATAAACTGTTCCAAAACCTCCTTTTCCAATGACCTTTTCAAAGTTGTTTGTGATACTAACTACCTCAGAATATGTGAATTGATTATTTCTCGACTCCAGTGGTCTAGCTTCCTCAAGAGGCATATGTTCTTCATTGTATTGACAAGCAATGTAATCACAAATTTAAATGTACAAAATAGAATAACCAACAAAATTTAAACATTACCTTTCCTTTCTCTTTTGAGTTTCCATGAAATAATGAACACTACCAAGAGGACAAAAACAACTGCTGTGGCGGATGCTACAATTGCAGCAACAGGCTGCTTCTTTCCGCATGATCCCGACAAACACAGATCCGGGTTACCATCCAAACTGGAATTGGACAATCAATCAGAAACAATTGTCAAGTTAAGGGTGCAATTGACTATAGCATAAAACTATCATTCAAAACCAAGTTACAAGTTTACTTAGGAGCTTTATATAATGCTATTTAGCGGGAAAAAAGGGGGGAGGGTATCGAAGCTTTATATCCCCTATCCAAATTTATGGGATGCAATTATTAATACCAGTGTAGAAACCTGTAGAAAATACTTTTAGTCCTTAGTTTTATATTTAATATGTTGTATATTTAAACATACAACAAATGAAATCCATCACTGCCGTTTTTCTCTATCAGCTCAGGTGGAACTGAACCTCTGAGATTGTTGAAGGATAAATTCCTGCAAAAATAAGATTAAACTTGATGACTTTTTCTGATTTCACCAATAACTTCAAGGGTTACTTGCACTGAAAATATTTCTGCAGACTTACAAAAGCTTCAGGTCCCGCAAATGCAATAATAAATCAGGCACGTCTCCTTCCAAGCTATTGTTGGATAAATCTCTGTAACAAATTAAGGAAAATGGAAATTGCAAAAGTGAAATTGAATCAATCATTATACCGAGAGTGATGTGCAATAGTCAAGTTTTTGCTTTCTTAACAAGCTGATACGC